ACAGTAAACTGACTCCGAGCCGACCAGTCCTTGTTTTAGACCCTTCATGCCGAGCGCCAGACAGGGTAACAACAAGTACCATCTTTTAACGTCTTTTGGTATGACGCGGCCGGGGATCGAATCCCGGACCTTCCGCTCTCCGGGCGGACGCTCTACCATTAGACCACTGAGGCGGTCTGATCAAATATCAGCGCGCGCGATTGTATAGTGCTTACCCACTGAGATACCATGCCGCAGCTTAACATAAATACCCCACTCAGACAACGTTTACCGACTTCGAGCCGACCAGTCCTTAATTTAGCCCATTAATGCCAAGCGCCAGCCAGTGTAACAATAGGTACCATCTTTAAACGTCTTTTGGAATGACCCCCGACCTTCCGCTCACCAGGAAGATGCTCTATCACTAGAACACTGAGGCGGTCAAAAGACAGATAGACGACTTATTCCAGTGAAAAAAGAATTTCCGGATAAATATGGTATTAAATCACAAAATATATAACCAATATAGAAAATATTCATGTCTTGTCAAAGAACATATTTCTTTCACCAACTGTTGTTTATATTTTCCCGAATGACGCAACTTATTACGTGATGAGATAAAGATAAAAGTGAGTGTTATTTGACGAAAAAAGCCATACGTTTAATTTATTTTGTTTCTTTACTGATCTTAGTGGGGAAAAAATATCATCGAAAAAGGGGGGACAGTAATTCCGGTATTAAGTTTGATTTCAGTGTGCAAAAACATGTTATTCCACTCTGTGGAAATATTGATTTGTTTCAGATAAATATAACAGTTCCTCGCTCCAAATATAGTATATCCAAATTCGATCACTTTATGTAAGTACAAGCATGTATATCGATCTTATGCGAGACATACTCTATGGAGCTCTCCGTCAGTCGCACGTACGCTCTTCAAAAAAAGAAATGCACAGGTAAATTTTAGTAAATTTTTCTGTACCTAATCAAGTCGATATATTTAATATCATAGATACATATATGAAGTTCATTGTCACATAAGGCCACAAGGTTGCGCTGAACTCAGTATCTCGTGTGACCGCCCCGGGCAGCAATCACGGCTCTGCATCTCCTCGGCACTGACTGGATAAGTGTACGAATTCTATCCTGCGGAATTCTTCGCTATTCTTCCTGGGAGTTGTGGGAGTGTCTGCAGCGTGTTCTGACGTTGACGTACACGTCGATCGAGTTTATCCCAGAGGTGTTCGATTGGGTTGAGAGCTGGAGATCTTGGCGGCCAAAGCAAAACGTTGATGTTGGCATTATGAAGGTAGCCAACCGTGACACGAGCTGTGTGCGGTGGAGCGTTGTCCTGTTGAAACAGCTCCCTCTGGCGGTCAATGATTGGAAGAAAGTGAGGTTGGAGAATTTGATTCATGTAGCGATTTGCTGTCAAATTTCCCCGAACCACAACCAAGTCAGATCTCGTGGTGTAGGCCGGTTCTCGGACGGTCTGCAGTGGAATTGAACTGTGTGCTTGCATCGGTCCCAAAGGCGGCGATTGGTGCTGTGGTGGACGTTGAAGTGGCGTGCAACAGAAGACTGCGATTCCCCTCTTTGGATACGTACTATGGAGATGTTCCGATCGGCTAGGGGTCTCGGCATTTTCGAACTTGAAAAGTGTTGACAACTGAATGACAAATTATTGGCTTTTGTTTGCCTTTTTATATAGCCACTGCCACGAGTTACGAATGCCATAACTTGCACGTGCATTTTACTATACTGTTTTCCTTTCATGACATTTTTGAACAAGTGTAAAAACAATGCCGTTTAAGACATTGCAAATCGACAATGGCTGCGTTTTGACGCACCTTTTGTCGAATATCAGGCCACCAACATTTTCTAAAAACATTTTTTTGTAGTCGGGTTCAATGAACTACATACTACCTGTGCGTTTCTTTTTTTAAGTGTGTATGGGTTATTCATTGATATTTGGACGTAATATTTTTGTGAATTCATAAGGCCATTTTCACTCTTTCAACATATTAAGGTGTTTCATATGTACGTCCTTCTCAGTGTTTTAATCGAATATATTTGTTTAACGCCGCACTCAGCAATATTCCAGATATATAACGGCGGTCTGTAAATAATCGAATATGGACCAGACAATCCAGTGATCAATATCATGAGCATCGATCCACGCAATTGAGATACGATGACATGCATCAACCAAGTCAGCAAGCCTGACCACCCGATCCTGTTAGTCGCCGCTCACGACAAGCGTAGTTGCCTTTTACGAAAAGCATGGGCTGCTGAACACCTATTCGAACCCGGATCTTCATGGGTCGCCCAAATGATGAGTGAGAAGAGCCCAGGATGTCACAGGTGGAGGACGCAACACACAAGCATGTGGTAATGGTGTTGACAAAGGATCCTAATCGGGGCCAATAAAGACTTCCGGAACACGGATCCTGGAAGCAAGTTTCAGCAACACATGTCAAATGGGCAAACCGTCGTCACTTCCTCTTACATGTACTGACTCGGTCTGAGATATCTCTGTAACAACAACCTCATGCACTCGTTCACATTGCCTAACTGACCAAAACCTTAGTCAAACTTCTAAGTTCCCCACAGAGGACATGGACACTCTTACACACAAAAGTCTAGACACTGCAAAACCCCAAGGTATAAGTATATCTGAGAGCTCTTCAATTTCTTACATGGTATGGTATAATTGCAACAACTCCAAGCAAAATAAATTAAACAAGCATGACATACTCTAATCCCCCGCCAATATGACATGTCCGGTTGTGTCCAGTGCATTAGCTCCTGTGAACTATGTTCACTTGGCCTTTTGTAAATGGCCTAACTGCAGCAGTAAAAAAAAATATTACTGGTGTTGTTTTGCCATCTGCAGTTTATGATAGAATATGTAACTGTATTTGTAATGAGTAAGGATGAGACATATGGACGAACAACTTCTTTATTACCCCCCGCCCAACAAAGTTTGCGGGGGATATAGAAACGGGCTCCGTCCGTCCGTCCGTTTCCATAACTCAGAAACCGTTCATTATTTTTTCATGAAACTTTGCAGGTCTGTCAAGTACATGCTGAACTGGTGCCTTTTGCTATTTAGAAATTTGTATTTTTTACGTTTCCATGGCAACAAGATGGACTTAGCTTCTGTGAGGGTATGGTTCGTTTCCGGAGCATAACTCATAATTTCAGTCTAAGTCAAAGTCGTTGCCATGGAAACTCGAATTTAAAAAAAAAAATTAAAAACCCAAACTATCAAAAGGCACCAGTTCACCACTAGACCTATCAATGTGCCAAGTTTGGTGAAGAAATATGGTATGGTTTTCAAGATTTGCTCTGGAAACGAAATGTGATGGACGGATGGATGGGCGGACGGATAGTGGACGGAAGGACTGACGGAAGGCACCCATTCCTATATCCCCCTTCCACTTCGTGTCGGGGGATAATAAATATATATTATCCCAGAAATAGCTTTAATCTGTTTTTTAATCTGTAGCTGAACAAAAATATCTTGTTTCCTTAGAAAATGATAAAATATATGATATTAGATGAAGCTGTGTCATGTCATTATAGTAATAAAATTTGAAATACAACCTGATTTAAGCAGAACATAAAATATCACGTCATTGTCAAATCTCAACTGATATTGTCTAGACAATCCAAGGATAATATACAGTGTTCTTACATACATTCAGAAAACTGACCCAGACATGTAGACATTTACTGAAAACACATTTAACCGCAAACCTATGTAGTTTTCTGCCAAAATGAAATGATTCTATCCCATCCCCTCTAATGTAAGGGTATATTGAATATATACATATCTTAATACCCAAGTGTTTTTTTCTACTGTTAATAGTACTTAGCTCTATTGAAAAGAGTATATTTATTGGAACCTGATAGACTTATCACTGTCCGGTGCAAATATTGACCTATATATTCAGAAAACAATTTCCTGGAATGAATCCTGAGGATTCCAAACCGATAAACACTGATGTTATTATTGAAATCCATGTTTGTTGTTTAATGCCGCACTAAAATAATGGCGTCCTGTGAATAATCTGGACCAGACAGTCCAGTGGTTGACATCATGAACATCTATCCACCCAATTGGGATACGATGACATGCATCAACCAAATCAGTGAACCTGGCCACCCAATCCTGTTAGTATCTCTTAGGACAAGCATAGTCGACTTTCACGGCAAGCATGGGTTGCTGAAGATCTACTCTATCCCGGTTCTTCGAGGGTCTCTGTGCAGATTTACAAAGAATTATTCAACCTGCAGAAACTACCATATAATATTGACCAAACAGTGTGCACTGTGTAAATTATTCCAACTTCCAACAGGCTATTTGGTAATTGTATATCATGGTCTGTATATGCAACCAGTATTCCAGTTATGTCACGGCGTGTCAGCTTAATGTGGGAGGAAAGCCCAAAGTGATGCAGGTCTTAGATGTTTACCACTTTGGTGAAACCCACGAGCAAGGGTATCCTGCTGACAAACCTAGAAACATAATCGGGGTGAACCGGGATTGGAACCCACAATCATAGGTTTCTGGCATGCCTAAGGGATGCAACTCTGCATAGCGAATCGCAGTGCCTAAGAGGACTGGGCCACCTTGAAAACAAGAAAAGAAATGTTGCTATGGAATTCTTTCTGTTCTTCACTATTTCTGAAACCAAATATATAGATGCAGGTACATCTACTGCATATCAAAGACCACCATTGTTGCTTACCCAAGTCTGGCCTATTGCTCTTGCAGGTGCTCTGCTCACAGACTAAACTGTCTACAATACTCAGGGACAAACCAAACCTCATAATGTGATACAGTTTTTATTGGTCTGAACACCAAAAATTATGAAATATGTAACTTCTATGAAACACATTTAATTTGTTCTGTATTCCCACAATAACTACACCATGTCCAGGAAATATGTATCCAGTTGAACAAATCAAGGGTGAAAAACGCAAGTCTGATGTATGAAAAAGCACAGAACCACATCTGATGACATAACATTATTTAATGTGACATGTTGGAGTTTAGAAGCAAATCGAACATACACAAACAGTATATCCTGTTCAATCAAACATACACAAAAAGTATATCCTGTTTAATCAAAGCATTTAGTTCATCGTGTTTATTGTTGATCTCTCAATGCTTTGCTTGAAGTTCAATGCTGTTTGCCAATAACATAAATTGTCAATGACGAATGTTCACAGCATTTCAGTCTGAATTAGCCATAACTGCTCATCACACTTACGATACTTCAAAGTTTGATGCTTTATTGAACATATCAACTGACTCACAAACACAACATGATCCAATGACTTCAAATTAAAGCTGGAATATTTTTCCACCCTGCAATGGTATCATAAGAAATACTCATAGACCAAGACTATATAAATAGTTAGGACAGTTAGTTTTACCCAAAACAACCTTGCCTCAAAGCAAGATTGTGGACTATATGGATTTCGCATAAAGTATCTTCCCTGAACAGGATAACAAATAAGTCTCTAGATGTATTATGCTTTCAAAACACAAGGTTGGTGCATGACATCAACAGTACCAATCAACAAATACCCTATCCAACTTTCCTGTTGACCTGTTAATATTAATTACAGATAGTTCTGTTGACCATGCTAAGTAGCATGAAGTAAATACAAAAAAGTAAGTTGATTTGATGTTAACTTCCTATAAAGCTAACTCTTGAATACGAAATGTTAACAAAACGGTAGATTTGTCCATTAAACAGGAGCATTAATCTATCAGGCATCATGTCTTTTAATACCTTCTGGGAATAACCAACCTGTACATCTGGAATATTATACTAGTTAAAATATTAGAGAAATGTTCATCTCTTGAAAATGAGAAAGATCAAATACTAACTGACAGATCTACCTTTCTCAAACAAAGGTAAAAGTGCATAAAATATTTCAAGTAACTGATAAGGCAGTAAACACATCTAGACAAGGAAAATATTAAAGCATTGTGACACATGTAAGTAAGTGTGTTTGACTATACGTCACACTGGTAAAAACTTCAGAACAACCATTCCATCATCATGACAGTCATACTTTCCAGAACCTTGTGTTTGACATAGTGCTTTGTCATATTAAAACATCAATATCAAAAAGATCTTCTACTCCAATATTATACTTGTCTTCGTGAATTGTGAACAAGCCCTTGATCCATAGAAGTTCTCGTCAGGGAAACCCTGAGCAAACACTGACTGCCCAATCTAAATGAAGGGTGCCAATCAGATGTCAATTTTTGTGAAATGATCTGGCTTACCTTCTTTACTCCCTCAAACCTGAAATTTCAATTTCAATAAATGATAACCCACACAGAACACAAATATTCCTTTCATGGTACTCCCCTTTGGGTGTAGATATGGTAGCATCCAGAAACAACAGGATGTATAACATATTTAATAATGTCACAGCCTTTATTATTTACATTCTGAATTAACTGATTAATTTAGTTATCGAGATATATAAATCAGAGTACATAGTACTCACAGTGATGTGAGTACATCAATCAGTACAGACCAGTCAGTTCAGGCCAGTCAGTACATCAATCAGTACAGCACCGCCAGTACATCAATTAGTACAGTACCGTCAGTACATCAATCAGTACAGGCCTGTCAGTACAGTACAGTCAGTACATCAGTCAGTACAGCACCAACAGTACATCAATCAGTACAGTACAGTCAGTACATCAATCAGTACAGCACCATCAGTACATCAATCAGTAGGGTACAGTCAGTACATCAATCAGAACAGCACAGTCAATACATCAGTCAGTACAGTACAGTCAGTACATCAATCAGTAAAGCACCGTCAGTACATCAATCAGAAAAGCACAGTCAGTTCATCAATCAGTACAGTATTGTCAGTACATCATTCAGTACAGTACAGTCAGTACATCAATCAATACAGTAGTCAGTACATCAATCAGTACAGGACAGTCAGTACATCAATCAGTACAGTACAGCACCGTCAGTACATCAATCAGTACAGTATAGTCAGTACATCAATAAGTACAGTACAGTCAGTACATCAATCAATAAAGTAGTCAGTACATCAATCAGTACAGTGCAGTCAGTACATCAATCAGTACAGTACAGTCAGTACATCAATCAGTACAGCACCGTCAGCACATCAATCAGTACAGTACAGTACAGTTAGTAAATCAATCAGTACAGTATTGTCAGTACATCAATTGGTACAGTATAGTACAGTCAGTACATCAATCAGTACAGTCAGTACATCAATCAATACAGCACCGTCAGCACATCAGTCAGTACAGTACAGTCAGTACATCAATCAGTACAGTAAAGTCAGTACATCAATCAATACAGCACCGTCAGCACATCAGTCAGTACAGTACAGTCAGTACATCAATCAGTACAGCACCGTCAGCACATCAGTCAGTACAGTACAGTACAGTTAGTACATCAGTCAATACAGTACAGTCAGTACATCAATCGGTACAGTACAGTTAGTACATCAGTCAGTACAGGCCAGTCAGTTCCTCAATTAGAACATTAGTCAGTACAACAAATAGTACATCAGTCAGTACATCAAGATCAAAGATTAGGCAGTTTATGAACTTATGGATTACCCTATTAATGTCTATGCCTCTTTATCTTGTCAACAGGAAACAAAATGCTTTCTGTTGAACAACCACAGCTGACATATGTCAAATTACAATGTAGTTACCAGAATGAAACTAACATGAACAAAGTCACTTGCTGCTTATAATAATGACACTCTATGTACATCAATGACATCTCCTGAACATATCGGCAAGGATACAGATGAGTACATAAACAAAGCACCATAACAACATGGAACACATCATAGCGTGTTCTGTGAATAAATAAAACAAAAAACTTTATGATTCAACTGTAATAAACTGAAATCTCGTTAAAAACACATTTATAGCAAAAGTGATACAGAAAAATTGAGTTCACCTGTAAATTCATATTGTATGTAACTGTATAGAGCTGCTGTGCAATGGCCATAACCACGAGTGAGTGAGTGAGTGAGTGAGTGAGTGAGTGAGTGAGTGAGTGAGTGAGTGAGTGAGTGAGTGAGTATGGTTTTATGCTGCTTTTAGCAATATTCCAGCAATATCACGGCGGGGGACACCAGAAATGGGCTTCACACATTGTACCCATGTTGGGAATCGAACCAAGGTCTTCGGCGTGACGAGCGAACGCTTTAACCGCAAGGCTACCCGACCGCCCCCAAACCACAATGCCATCATATTCCAGTCACACTGCAATCTCAACTCAACAGCTAACAGGCGTCGATTTAAGGAGCTAGATATAGCTTACACGTAGTGCATGTTGCACCAGACTAAACCAGGTTGCACTTTAAACAGTAGCTATTTACCAAAAATGTGTGTAATTCGTAAATTACAATCTCAGATCACTTATCAATGTTATTTAGTTCTCGGTACATGAAGCAACAATGGCAATTGCGAAATGATTGTCATTAATTGGTAGTATTCATAACCCAAATGTGGTGTTCAGTGGTAAATGAAGCTACTTAACCACAATTGAATGTCATTGGCAATATCATCATCACTGCTACAAGGCGATTCTTCAGCTCCTTGTCCTCAGACAGCTTGTCATGATAACTTTTCAATCATGGTTGGCATTCACAAAAATGTATGATGTATAACATAATCATAAAGTACCCAGAGTTTGATGACATCAAGCACAAGGAACAATGACAAATTACACATAACACTGGAAATAATGATGTACTATGGTATTTAAAGTGCATCAGGTTCAAAGATTGATATTCTGTACAAAAGATGTTTAGTAGGTCAGTCACAATTTTTGTACAGTCTTGACGTACACTGTATAAAAAAATATCAGGTTGCACAAGTACATGCTTTATATGTTTGTTTGTTTGTTTGTTTGTTTGTTGTTTAACACCACACTCAGCAATATTCCAGTTATATGACGGCCGTCTGTAAATAATAGAGTCCAGTGATTGACATCAAGAGCATCGATCTATGCAATTGGGATACAATGACATGCATCAACCAAATCAGCAAGCCTGACCAAGCGATCCTGTTAGTATCGTCTTACAACAAGCATTGTCGCCTCTTACGGCAAGCATGGGTTGCTGAAGACCTATTCTACCCCGCATGTTTCATGATTAAATCAAGCCCTGTTACTTTGCTGGGCATTGAGGAATAAGTTAGCACACATGACATCCTAGTTATTGACATCATGTAACACACAGTTACAATAGGACAACATGACATTCACCACATAGCAAAAGGAACATCAAGGAAAAGGAAATATTGATCCACTATAGACCTCAAATCATAGTTACTTGTTAAACTCATTTTCTCCATCACAATTTGAAGCTTAAAATGACTAGTGTTGAAAAAAATACAATTTCAGTGATCTTAAACAGTTGATCACACAGCAAAATGAAACAATGGTAAGACTGAAACACTTCAAACAAACATACTTCTGTGGACATTAGCTTGAATCAGTGTCCATAATATTCATACAAAATAGGGTATGATAATGTTAAACAGTTCCACATCAGTATCAGCTGGAGGAAGACATGACTTAGACATTTTCAATGATAGATTTACTACCATTTTCAGTAAAACCAACATGATCAAGGATACACTTTCATATTGATACAAAGGATTGCGTTTTCATGGTGATATCAGACACTGAATTTCAGCTGGTATTGAATATTATCCAAATATGGCATAATATTCTGTATAAATATGATCTGAATGATCGGGCACAAACATACAAAAGAAATATCATATGGTGACATTACCCTTGAGGACAAGCCATGTTCAAACTTCAAGGCCGGGCTTTTGAAACTGCCAGTCCCAGTGGAGTGGCAACTATACAAATTACCAGTCCCACCCAATATTTGTCAGTCCCAAACTTTGAACAAACAAAAATGGTATGGAAATTATCTGGTTTAAATTCTTTCACCATCAATTTCAATGCAGTGTACTTTCATGGCTGATGAATTCAGTGACGTCATTTCTGAAGTAACTTATTCAGATCTACACGTCCTTTAAACAAAGTTCAATCACAATTTTCTCTTTTCATCTGAATATTTCACAACAACACCTGTACCTGATTATCTTCTGTAACAAATCCACCAGGTGTACAAAATCCCCCAATAATCACAGTATCAGATCTGAATCTCTTTTAAAGTCTTGATGTTTTTCATACGGTATCAAATGTGCATTTAGTTTAACATTGCTAAATCTATAACAGAAAGGAGACTGATTTCTTATGAAGTACTTTCCAAAATAACCTTTCCCTTAGCCTTCCTAAACTATCCAGTTTAAGACCCATGCTCAACTCTTCTACAGATAAAGTTCAACATCTCTTTCTTTGATTGATGTCATTCAGAGGCCATATGATTCTACATCAGTCCAAAATATGCCCGAAATAACCAAAGTAACTTATGTAGGCTTATACTATACATAGGCTGGTGTAATGCTTCTCTTCGTACATATATAAGCATCTAGTAAATCACCTTATTCAATGTAATAAGTGCCCAGGGTACATAAAAGTTCCGATGGGTTGGCAGTTATAAGAGACTACCTATTCTACCTTGTTTTATTGAAGTTGAACTTCTTAACATACTAACATATAAATACTGAAAACACAGACAAAAAGGAAATTTTCCATTATCTTTTTACAATTGAATACTTTCGTTTAGAGGTTGTAAATGTTACAGCAAGACACTTAATACATCAAATATGGTCAATGAAATACAAGACCTGCCAGAATTTCCAAAACCATTAATAACCATCCTCAGGCTGGTGGAAAAGTGCATCTAAAAACGTGTCTCAAAATAAAAACAGGATTGACGAATAGATCGGTGCTTTTTTCTTTCAATGCAGTGTTGGCAGTGAGTGATAAACGCACTATCACCTGTACTGAAGCATCACATAAGAAAGAAGAAAGGGATGAAAAACCTTGAGTTAATCCTGTTTCATTTATACAACAGGTTTCAAATATCACTTAAACATATAGCATCTCTAATACCCACATTAATTTAACATGTCTTCATGAAGGACTCGAGTCTGGGAGATGTAGGGAGTGTTGACACTATCCTGTGTGTGCGTCTCCCATTGGATGTGATCCCAACATACAGAGACTACTTCCACCTCCAGGACACCGCCTCAAGTGGACAAGACCGTCTCCGTACAACAATAACCTGCTGCATGAAGCCAGGTAATCCAACAGGATCAACAGATAAGATGTCTGACATGTCACTCCCTGTGTCCAGTGGAGGCTGATCAAAGGCAGCAGTCCTGGAGCTCCTCCAGCCTACCTATCATAGAGCTCCTGTAACATCTCCCGAATCAGCAAGTAGTCCTGCCTCCCAGCATCTGGGATTTCAATCACATTTGATCTTCAGTTGCAATTTGATCTTTCTCAAAGTATGCCATGAATGTGAAAAGGTTTGAGTCAGTTGTGGCAAAAATATGATCCTTATGTTTAAATTTGTACCTGTATAGTCTCTCAGTGCAAACCTGAGAGAAAGGCAAGTTCTGTCAATCAGCTCTGCAGCAGATTCTTTGAAATCATGGAAACAAGAGCCGGTTTGTGTTTGAAGTACTCCGTCGCAGATCCTACCAAGTAGACATCATGGCCTTGAAAGAAAAATCTGAAAACAAAAACAAAACATTCAACAGCCTTAAGAATATTTCCAATAAAAAAAAAAAAATGATATGAAAATTATTTTTTTGGTCAAAATGGAATACACTACTAAGGAATAACAAATATTTTGAGGTACAGAACTGCAAAATGTGTGAATGAAACTTAACTACTCCCTGCAACCTGTCAAATAAATATGCATTCTGCCAAAATTTATCAGGAGACACACAAAAAAGATAATGACTTGTGACAGCTGATTCCTATGGTTGTACATCTTGTTCTAAACACAGCAAAAAAATAACTCACAATCGAGAAATGATTACAGACACAGGCAGCCTGATAACAGACTCCCTATCGTTGACTAAAAAAAAAATTCATTTGTATTGAGATAAAAATGGTCAAGACATGAAACATTTGGATCCAAGCTGTCAAATCATGTTTATACCGCAACAGTCCGCGGTGTAGGTTGCGAGGCTTGTAGTGCTCCGCAGCAAACAACCCGAAACAGCGACACAGCTCCCGTAACAAGGCATAGTCACTGGGAGAGTCCTGCGCATAGAATACCACCAGGGGCCGCCTGTAACAGAAGCAGACAATGTCATTGCAGGATCAGCCTAGCCAACATCAACACAACATATTTAAGACTAATTTCACGATATATTCTTGAAACAAAACTAAAGAAACATTGTTACTACTTAACACATTAACCTGAATGAAGTAACACTGTTACTACTGTAACACATTAACATGAATGAAGTAACACTGTTACTACTGTAACACATTAACCTGAATGAAGTAACACTGTTACTACTAAACACATTAAACTGAATGAAGTAACACTGTTACTACTAAACACATTAACCTGAATGAAGTAACACTGTTACTACTAAACACATTAACCTGAATGAAGTAACACTGTTACTACTAAACACATTAACCTGAATGAAGTAACACTGTTACTAATGTAACACATTAACCTGAATGAAGTATCACTGTTACTACTAAACACATTAACCTGAATGAAGTAACACTGTTACTACTAAACACATTAACCTGAATGAAGTATCACTGTTACTACTAAACACATTAACCTGAATGAAGTAACACTGTTACTAATGTAACACATTAACCTGAATGAAGTAACACTGTTACTAATGTAACACATTAACATGAATGAAGTAACACTGTTACTAATGTAACACATTTACCTGAATGAAGTAACACTGTTACTAATGTAACACATTAACCTGAATGAAGTAACACTGTTACTACTGTAACACATTTACCTGAATGAAGTAACACTGTTACTAATGTAACACATTAACCTGAATGAAGTATCACTGTTACTACTAAACACATTAACCTGAATGAAGTAACACTGTTACTACTAAACACATTAACCTGAATGAAGTATCACTGTTACTACTAAACACATTAACCTGAATGAAGTAACACTGTTACTACTGTAACACATTAACCTGAATGAAGTAACACTGTTACTAATGTAACACATTAACCTGAATGAAGTAACACTGTTACTAATGTAACACATTTACCTGAATGAAGTAACACTGTTACTAATGTAACACATTAACCTGAATGAAGTAACACTGTTACTAATGTAACACATTAACCTGAATGAAGTAACACTGTTACTAATGTAACACATTTACCTGAATGAAGTAACACTGTTACTACTAAACACATTTACCTGAATGAAGTAACACTGTTACTAATGTAACACATTAACCTGAATGAAGTATCACTGTTACTAATGTAACTCATTTACCTGGATGAAGTAACACTGTTGCTACTAAACACATTAACCTGAATGAAGTAACACTGTTACTACTAAACACATTAACCTGAATGAAGTAACACTGTTACTACTAAACACATTAACCTGAATGAAGTAACACTGTTACTACTAAACACATTAACCTGAATGAAGTAAGACTGTTACCATGGTTACTACTAAACACATTAAACTGAATGAAGTAACACTGTTACTACTTAACACATTAACCTGAATGAAGTAACACTGTTACTACTTTAACACATTAACCTAAATGATATAACACTGTTACTACTGTAAAACATAAACCTGAATAAAGTAACACTGTTACTACTGTAACACATTAACCTGAATGAAGTAACACTGTTACTACTAAACACATTAACATGAATGAAGTAAGACTGTTAATACTGTAACACATTAACCTGAATGAAGTAAGACTGTTACTACTGTAACACATTAACCTGAATGAAGTAACACTGTTACTACTGTAAAACATAAACCTGAATGAAGTAACACTGTTACTACTGTAACACATTAACCTGAATGAATTAACACTGTTACTACTGTAACACATTAACCTGAATGAAGTTACACTGTTACTAATGTAACACATTAACCTGAATGAAGTAACACTGTTACTACTAAACACATTAACATGAATGAAGTAACACTGTTACTACTAAACACATTAACCTGAATGAAGTAACACTGATACTACTGTGACACATTAACCTGAATAAAGTAACACTGTTACTACCGAACACATTAACCTGAATGAAGTAACACTGTTACTACTAAACACATTAACCTGAATGAAGTAACACTGTTGCTACTAAACACATTAACATGAATGAAGTAACACTGTTGCTACTGTAACACATTAACATGAATGAAGTATCACTGTTACTAATGTAACACATTAACCTGAATGAAGTAACACTGTTGCTACTTAAATTAACTGAATGAAGTAACACTGTTACTACTAAACACATTAACCTGAATGAAGTACCACTGTTACTACTAAACACATTAACCTGAATGAAGTAACACTGTTGATACTTAAATTAACTGAATGAAGTAACACTATTCCTTCTAAATACATTAACCTGAATGAAGTAACACTGTTACTACTAAACACATTAACCTGAATGAAGTAACACTGTTACTACTAAACACATTAACCTGAATAAAGTAACACTGTTACTACCGAACACATTAACCTGAATGAAGTAACACTGTTGCTACTTAAATTAACTGAATGAAGTAACACTGTTACTACTAAACACATTAACATGAATGAAGTAACACTGTTACTACTGTAACACATTAAACTGAATGAAGTAACACTGTTACTACTAAACACATTAACATGAATGAAGTAACACTGTTACTACTGTAACACATTAAACTGAATGAAGTAACACTGTTACTACTGTAACACATTAAACTGAATGAAGTAACACTGTTACTACTAAACACATTAACATGAATGAAGTAACACTGTTACTACTGTAACACATTAAACTGAATGAAGTAACACTGTTACTACTGTAACACATTAAACTGAATGAAGTAACACTGTTACTACTAAACACATTAACATGAATGAAGTAACACTGTTACTACTGTAACACATTAAACTGAATGAAGTAACACTGTTACTACTGTAACACATTAAACTGAATAAAGTAACACATTAAACTGAATGAAGTAACACTGTTACTACTAAACACATTAACATGAATGAAGTAACACTGTTACTACTGTAACACATTAAACTGAATGAAGTAACACTGTTACTAATGTAACACATTAACATGAATGAAGTAACACTGTTACTACTAAACACATTAACATGAATGAAGTAACACTGTTACTACTGTAACACATTAAACTGAATGAAGTAACACTGTTACTACTGTAACACATTAACATGAATGAAGTAACACTGTTACTAATGTAACACATTAACCTGAATGAAGTAACACTGTTACTAATGTAACACATTAACATGAATGAAGTAACACTGTTTCTAATGTAACACATTAACCTGAATGAAGTAACACTGTTACTAATGTAACACATTAACATGAATGAAGTAACACTGTTACTAATGTAACACATTTACCTGAATGAAGTAACACTGTTGCTACTAAACACATTTACCTGAATGAAGTAACACTGTTACTAATGTAACACATTAACCTGAATGAAGTAACACTGTTACTAATGTAACACATTTACCTGAATGAAGTAACACTGTTGCTACTAAACACATTTACCTGAATGAAGTAACACTGTTACTAATGTAACACATTAACCTGAATGAAGTATCACTGTTACTAATGTAACACATTTACCTGAATGAAGTAACACTGTTACTACTAAACACATTTACCTGAATGAAGTAACACTGTTACTAATGTAACACATTAACCTGAATGAAGTAACACTGTTACTAATGTAACACATTAACCTGAATGAAGTAACACTGTTACTAATGTAACACATTTACCTGAATGAAGTAACACTGTTGCTACTAAACACATTTACCTGAATGAAGTAACACTGTTACTAATGTAACACATTAACCTGAATGAAGTATCACTGTTACTAATGTAACACATTTACCTGAATGAAGTAACACTGTTGCTACTTAAATTAACTGAATGAAGTAACACTGTTACTACTAAACACATTAACATGAATGAAGTAACACTGTTACTACTGTAACACATTAAACTGAATGAAGTAACACTGTTACTAATGTAACACATTAACATGAATGAAGTAACACTGTTACTACTAAACACATTAACATGAATGAAGTAACACTGTTACTACTGTAACACATTAAACTGAATGAAGTAACACTGTTACTACTGTAACACATTAACATGAATGAAGTAACACTGTTACTAATGTAACACATTAACCTGAATGAAGTAACACTGTTACTAATGTAACACATTAACATGAATGAAGTAACACTGTTTCTAATGTAACACATTAACCTGAATGAAGTAACACTGTTACTAATGTAACACATTAACCTGAATGAAGTAACACTGTTACTAATGTAACACATTAACCTGAATGAAGTAACACTGTTACTAATGTAACACATTAACATGAATGAAGTAACACTGTTACTAATGTAACACATTTACCTGAATGAAGTAACACTGTTGCTACTAAACACATTTACCTGAATGAAGTAACACTGTTACTAATGTAACACATTAACCTGAATGAAGTAACACTGTTACTAATGTAACACATTTACCTGAATGAAGTAACACTGTTGCTACTAAACACATTTACCTGAATGAAGTAACACTGTTACTAATGTAACACATTAACCTGAATGAAGTATCACTGTTACTAATGTAACACATTTACCTGAATGAAGTAACACTGTTACTACTAAACACATTTACCTGAATGAAGTATCACTGTTACTAATGTAACACATTAACCTGAATGAAGTAACACTGTTACTAATGTAACACATTAACCTGAATGAAGTAACACTGTTACTAATGTAACACATTTACCTGAATGAAGTAACACTGTTGCTACTAAACACATTTACCTGAATGAAGTAACACTGTTACTAATGTAACACATTAACCTGAATGAAGTATCACTGTTACTAATGTAACACATTTACCTGAATGAAGTAACACTGTTGCTACTTAAATTAACTGAATGAAGTAACACTGTTACTACTAAACACATTAACATGAATGAAGTAACACTGTTACTACTGTAACACATTTACCTGAATGAAGTAACACTGTTACTAATGTAACACATTAACCTGAATGAAGTAACACTGTTACTACTGTAACACATTAAACTGAATGAAGTAACACTGTTACTACTACACACATTAATCTGAACGAAGTAACACTGTTACTACTAAACACATTAATCTGAACGAAGTAACACTGCTAATACTGTTAAACACATTATCTGATTTAAATATATTAAGGAAAGGAAAGAATGTTTAGATGTACTCTCTGTTTACCCGCTTACAGTCGTGAAGTTTACATCACTGATGTCCACTGACTTCACAAGAACTTATCAAAAGTTTCAAACTCCTTCACGCTAAACATATATCATACAAAAATGATCTTGACATTCCGAAATAGTAATAGGACATTGCATGCATGACACTGATCCAGTCTACATTTAGTGTCTTGGACCAGAGGCCTTGCATGCAGTCTGTCTGGTCTCTCTGGTCTGTCTGTCTGTCTGTTATGCATCCTTCGTATTCGGATCAGAATGTTTCAACCCCACCTCATTCACACTTTTTTTGTAATTTGTTTGTTTGTGTTGTTTAACGCCGCACTCAGCAATATTCAAGCTATATGACTGCGGTCTGTAAATAATCGAGTCTGGAGCAGACAATCCAGTGATTGACATCATGAGAATCGATCCACACAATTGGGATACAATGACATCGATCAACCAAGTCAGCGAGCCTGAACACCCGATCCCGTCAGCCGCCTCTTTCGACAAGCATAGTTGCCTTTTACAGCAAGCATGGGTCGCAGTAGAACTATTCTAACCCGGATCTTCACTGGTCCATTCACGCTTTTCAACAACCTACTTTTCATCTGGCGAGATTTTCAAGTCAAAGTCCTTGACTTTCTGTACACAGAGCTGGAGGTCAGTGATGGGGAAGCTGACGCCGCTGGCGATGTTGTGGTTCAGCTGCTGCTCGTACAAGACCATTGTCAAGTTACTCATCCCAGTCAGTGGTGTTGGTCCGTCCCTGCAACCAACGATAATTTGTTCCTTCAATATCATTACACTGGATCAAACTAAGTCTACACTTTCTAAAAATATTATTTAAAGAATCTATCAGCCAAAACACACACTCACATCATTCATCCAATGAAACAAAAATGTGTCACATTTGTTACTATTTTTTATTCAACATACCGAAGCCTGAAATTTTCCACACCATAAAAGTGTGGCATAAGACAAAATTTCTTTTAATATTTCCCTCTAATGACTGGAAAAGTAACCAATTTGGAGGGCCCACATGACTTTCAAGACATCCACATGACCTACCTGTCCAACATCACATATATTCTGTCTTTAAAATAATGCCAAATAATCTTATTAAACAAATTCTGTAACAAATTCTGTAACACATTTGTTTGCCACAATTCCGAGCACTCCCTTCTCAAATATCAAATGGTCAGACCTTAATAACTAAATACTTTTTATTGAGTGACAAATCTCTGAGTTAATTACAATGATATTGTTGAACTTTGTTTGCCAAAAGTTTCACTTGAGTTTGAAGGCATCTTAGCACAAAATTCAGGCAAGGTCGTTTAATAGCAAAATGATACCTTGATTGAAACAAATTGAAAACATAAAGCATAATTTCCAAAACAGCTTTGTCCAAATCGGATGCCATACACTTGGAATAATGCCCTGGAGAAATGACATCGTAATGTCAATATGCCTCAAGGATAAACACTCAAGCTGAAGACTTCAAAAACATATCTGAATTGACTGTGTTTAATCTCAAACTGTCTTGTGTCACACATAACCTAAGCATCATAAGGAGAGTACTTAGAGTTTCATAACAAAACCAAGTCTGAAAACAGAGAACTGATTAGCAGTCTGATGTGGGTTGTCAGACTGAATCAAAGATATCTGGATCAGAACAAAAAACATCTGTATCTTTTAAGTGGAGTTTTAATCACAAACAAGAGGGTTGACATATGGCTTGGCATCTCTGATTAAACTCTTCATTCTTATTTGCCTGAAGAAATTCAGAGCTTCTCCTTCAAGTGAGGAGTTGGCTTACAGACAGACATCTAATTGGATACACTATATTCTCCCCAGAAAAACCCACTCAGACAGAAAATTAACCATCTTTCTGTGACACACTCTTATATGCCTCCAACATGTTACAGGCCTTCAGTTTGCACAATTCTGACATCAAACAAATACTGAAGGCCTCTGAATATCACTTGGTCCACATGCGCTTACATTGGAAAAGTCAGTTTAGTAATTTGTAACTGTATTTAAAAAAATGTACTACAATTACCCATGTAATCAATCAAACCTCTTTGAGACCAAGGTACCCAGAACTCTATAGCTTGAAAGAAGAGGTGACTTAATTGGTTTGGGTGGTCGACGAGTGATAGCGTGTCACCATGCCATGGCTTCCTCACACAAAGCAGCCACAAGTCACTGCCTACCACCTGCCTGGTTCCGCCTGACTGAGGTGGAGGGTTGTCAGAGAGAGGGTTGGTTGGTTGGTTCAGACACGAGTACACAAGGCAGACAAGCAGTGCTCCTGAGGTGGAAACTGCTGTTGTTATTTGGGGTGGCAGTACCTATTATGGGATCCTCTTGTGACCCAATGACATTGTGTCCCACTGCAACATTCCATGTACAAACAGCTGGGGCGTCTGCTGTCAGAGGAGAGATGGACGATACAGCCCCCATAATTCTTTTGTACAGCCAGGACAAACACTGGCATACAGACCCTAACCCATCTTCCCGAGGCAAGGGAGTTAACTGACTATAAAACTCCAGTTTCCAACCTTGCCGAACTAGGCTGGAATTATGGAGTTATATTTTGGCTGGACTAACGAGTCTAAGCACAGTCCAATCAAAATTTCACGTTACAAAATCAAAATCCAGTCCGTAAACTGCCGTCCAGATTTTGGTCAATAACAGGATTTGCAAAGCATGAGTACTGTCAAAATAGCGTCAACAGATATTTTCCAAATCTTTTCATTTTTTTAATCAAGGTGCTCACGTGATTTGATGCACTTCGCGAAGTAAGAGTTTTTTATTTTATTACGATATAGATGTTGATTTTCAATCAGATCGTAATCACTTGGTGCTGCCATTTTGTTTGAAGCAAATGCAAGTGATATCAGATGTGGAATCTGATTGGTCAATAGGAGGGACATAGAAGGGAGATAACTCATAATAGCCACTGGTGGCGCTACAATCGAACCCAGAAATTCCTGCCGATTTCAGCAAGGGTGGAAACTGGACTTTAACAGTCTTTTTTGGTAAACTCTCTTGCCTCAGGAAGATGACCCTCACCAAACAATGACAGTTTACCAGTGCTGTACACTACTCCTAATGTGTCTAATCAGAAAAAAAAGGTTCACCTCAATGAGTCCAGACACGTCACCATCCAGAAGGATGATCATTGCATCACCTCCAGCCAGATTGTATCCCTGTGCCTCATAAAGGACGAGGACTGGTCTGGGGAGGGAGTCACAGAGGGAGCCAGGGACAGGGAAATGGTCCAACTCACTGAAGGAGTATGGAGAACACAATGTACCCTATTTAGGGTAGAATACTTGGAATCAGAATATTCGAGGCCCATTTCATCCATATGACCACTTGCAGCTCCCTATTGGGGTTGGACGCCACCCTACAAAAGAGGCACCTAATCCCTTTTGGGCGGTGTCTTGGTCCAGTATGATGGCCGATAGTTGTATTGGCGGCGCTCTCCAAGCGGGGGCCACTAGTTAACTCTGTAGATGATTGGTATCGGGTCCTCCCCACACCAACCATTGAGCATGGGGGCGTACTGCCCCACAACTAAAGGTGTGTACTGGCCTGCCCTGTCACGCATAACCTGGGTAAACATCCAAGGACTAGCCATTTAATTCTAATACTCAATAAAATTTACTTACCAGACAAGCAAGAACAAGTCATGTTTTCAATTTGTAGAGATATTGCCCTTGAGTGAGTGAGTGAGTATGGTTTAACGCAGCTTTTAGCAATATTCCAGCAAAATCACAGCGGGGGACACCAGAAATGGGCTTCACACATTGTACCCATGTCGGAAATCGAACCCGGGTCTTCAGTGTGACGAGCTAACTCTTTAACCACTAGGCTACCCAACCGCCCCATATTGCCCTCGAAAAATATATATGGCCACAGTGTTAGCAAGTTGGTTGCTGTTGAAATATTTTTAATTAAACATTGAAAATTCTTTCTGAAAAACCATTTGAAGGATGCGTGAGAAAATATAGCCTGTTTGTGTAATCTGTTGGGCATCTGCAACAAGCCTAAAGTGTTGACTTTGCAAAGTTTACCAGACTATCAATTTAACTCGCAGCTGATTGAAAGGAGTGAAATAGGCAGACCTTCACGGGAGATCCGAACCTCAATAACATGTTGCCAATAAGAGTCAGAGTTTCAGACGGCTGTCTGTCACCAGTCATAGACAGATAACATTTCAACACAGTAGCAACTTTGAGTGAAGATGATTCTTCTCCATTGCTGTTGACGCCAATTTTGATGCTGCCTGGCCCATTGCAGTTGGGCCTGTTGGTGACAATCTCTCAGGATAGGATGGGTACACAAGCAGGACGGTGGCACGAGATGTTGTTGGTAGTTAGGCGACGTCGGACTGTACGATCACTGAGGCATGCTGGTGGTTGCAAATGGTTTGCCGAGCTGTTTCAGTGGCCATTCAGAATCGGTTTTGCAGATGTTGGCGTGTCATGAACCGGTCTTGTCTGGGAGTGGTGACTCTAGGACGACCACTACACGGTCCGTCGTCGGTGGTGTTGGCTGTGTTGTGGCGATGTTGCAAACGATATATCGTTCTAATGTTGACATTGAATGCATTTGCAACGACCTGTGCACTCTGGCCTGCTTGCGTCTTCCAATCGCTTGTTGTCTCTCATTTCCTGATAATCTTGGCATGGCTGATGAATCGAAAAAACGAAAGCCAGCTTAACAGTTTTGGGTGTCTTTTATACCCATACCATCCACGATATGCACATGCATCATGTTTTTGACAAGACTTTTCGCAACTGAGTCCCATTGCACTTTTGTAGGCTGCGTTTGGGCAAAGCACTCCATTTTAACCTCAATTGTTAAATGGACTTTAAGGCAACAAAAAGAAGCAGTAGAACGTTAAAGGAGTTTATTGACCACAGAACATGTAACTGCCAGTGTCTGTTAAATTTTTATCAGTATTTTCAGAAGTGACGTTTCTTTTGCCTTTCAGTGTACAACAATGCATAGCCATTATAACTCGTAATTAAAATTCTGAGCTGCGTATGTCTTTGCATCGAATTCTTATGGTTCGTCATTTTGAAACTTTTAGACTTACTGACTTTTACCATTGACTTATTACATTTCTCGGGTCCAAGTCATTGACCTATGAACAGATTAGTGTGTCAAAATCACTGAGAGTTATCTGCCTTTGTATAGTGTTGTACCAAGCTCCTCACAGCAATATCCCATTTGCAGAGCTCTCTATACTATCGCTACCAGTCAAAACTCCTACTGTGATAGATGACCACAACCATGCTTGGAGTTGAACTCGCAGCCGATTGTCCGTTATGTTTACAAACAAGTGACAACTGTCGTGTTGCCTAATACACTTACCCCTGCTAAATTTCTTTTTTTGTTTGTCAATTTGAATTTCTATTTCATTAAAACTATCATGTAATCGATAAAGTAGGAATGTAAGGGAGAAGTTGGTTGATTTTCCATTAGTCTGCAACCTCGAACCAATTTATTCATACAAACAACAAAGTAAATTCATCTGGATAACATGGTCAGTCGTAAACCTTTTCAAAATGAACTATGATGGCATTCCCAAACACATAAACAAAAGCATGAACATGACTACATTTGGGATGAGAGGGCAAATTTCAAGATTCTTGTAATGGCCACGCTCACACTGATGGCAGCGATGTTACCGAGAGTGTAACAAAGGTGTCACATGCTGGGAAGGAGCTTGATTGTTAGAGTGACCTGCCACTACTTGGATGGAGCTCAGCTTAACAGTTGATAGACTTGTTGCACACAAGACTGGAGGACCTTTTCCTTGATACATTTCTAAAACAAGCCGGCAGTTTCTGAATCAGGATTGTCAAGGTGATGCTGCAGCATTTTCTTATTGTGGCTCCTATGGCAAACATTCATTACACAAGTCAACCGAAATGGATGGAAATACAAGACAGCTTTCAACCTTAAAAGACATACTATCAAACCAAAAAATGTTCTCAAAAGGACCTTGTAATATATTACATTCAAATGCATTATCATGTTTAACCCATTGTACAAATGTATGTTTTAGAACACTGAGTGTATACTTATATTACTGAACTGACATCAGTAATAGAAAGTATGGAAGTTAATGACTTAGAAGCATAAAGAACAATGTTATAGTTTTACTGAGGGGAGCATCCATCAAATCAAATTGATGCCCCCTTAGTAAGTGTCAAATTACTTAAAAATTACTTAGACATTTTACATGACTCATCAGTACTAGCAATAACTTAGTTTGATTGCACTTACTTAAAGATAAATTTGGTTTTATTTATAACTTGTTTTAAGCTGGTTGGTTTGTTTTTTATCGCCGCACTCAGCAATATTCCAGCTACATGACTGCGGTCTTTAAATAATCAAGTCTGGACCAGACAATACAGTGATTAATATCATCAGCATAGATCCACGCAATTGGGATCGATGACATTCGTCAACCAAGTCAGCGAGCCTGACCACCCGATCCCGTTAGTCGCCTCTTTCAACAAGCTTGTCGCTTTTTACGACAAGCATGGGTTGGTGAAGACCTATCGTTATTATAAGCTCCCATTTTATTGAGTGAATGTCATGTTTGAAGAATATGTTGGCACTTGACACAGAAATTTAGAACCAAGCCAAAAACAAAGTACCACAGTTACAGATGCTTACATATAAAGGATGACAAAATCATATGCCTGAATTGTTTGATCTAAATCCATGGTGCGCATGATTTTGGACACACAGAAATTTCAACATCATTGCTTTCACAGTGTTGTCTGTCTGTCCGGTCACATCAGGATAAGCTGCTATTCATCTTATGTCTTCATCATCAGTACAGTCATGGGAAAAACAAATTAGAGTCATCAGAAGATGACAAATCACCTGACTGTTACTTTAAGTACAACTTGATGAGAGAATTTCTATATAATCTGTCTGCCCGTATACAAGAGTAGTTATTGAGCTGTCAAAATCAAAACCATGGAATTGGGACCCGAAACTTTGTATTTCCATGTCAGGTGCACACCAAAATGAACAGAGTCAAAGTCAAACTTGTTGCCATGGAAATGGAACAAATATAAATTCTAAAAATCACTAAATAGCAAAAGGCAGTTGACACCCTGGTCTTTGTGTGTGCACAGTTTCATGAAAGAATACCCGTTACTTTTAGAGATATGGTCCGGACAAACACACTACTATGAACAGAGTCAAAGTTAAACATGTTGCCATGGAAATGGAACAAATATCAATCCTACAAATCCCTAAATAACAAAAGGCATTTGACAACCTGGCCTTTGTGTGTGTACAGAATACCAAATACTCTTACAGAAATGGTCCAGACAAACACACCACTATGAACAGAGTCAAAGTCAAACTTATTGCAACTGAAACAAGAAAAAGAAAATTTCTTCTAAAAGTCCAATATAGCATTAGGCACCGCTTCAGCCCCTGATTACTACAAGTTTGAATTAGAAATGTTGAATAATTCTTTTTAGTTCTTTTTAGTTTGCTGCACAAACGACAACATCCTCCGATTCAGCTAAGTCAAACTTGTTTCCATGGAAACAGGGAAAAATCAAATTTTGAAAAATTCCTAAAGAGCAAAAGGCACCACTTCAGGACATGGTTAGTACATGGACCAGCTTTGGATGAAAAGTCTTCAACATTTTCAAGTTGTTCTCCGGAAACAGAAGAGCCATTGACTATATCCCACCGGTATCCTCCCATAAGTCACGCATCCCATTTGTCACCTACACTGTACATTCATACACATTCATACAAATATAGATACACATTCAAGCCAGATTTATTGGTTTGATACGGTTACTTGATCCGAATCAAAAGGAATGACCGCCGCGTTGTGACAGCAACTACATGTGAGTTGACAGTGTCGCCTAAAATTGGATTGCCCACTAAATAAAATTATAAACCTCGCTTGTGGTTCTCTTTTATAGCATGCATGCGTTTCTAAGATCAAAGGATGTATAGTGTGAAAAGTTAACTAGTAGAACAATCATATTTCCAGGACTTGCCGCAGATGTTTTCAAACAGATTATTAGAACTCCATTCAGCAATAAACGGTTGATTATGCAATGAGAAGCGTTATGTGCAAATGAACAACGAACAACAATACAATCATGTCTGTGTAAAACTCTCAGTATTAAAAGTGTACATAAATTTTGGGAGCCATGCCTTACCGCGCGTAGTAACCGAGGTAGCGCTTTATCGAAGAGCACAATAGCGAGGGATCACTGTACCTTAAAACAACATAGGTCATGGCTGCAGGCACTGACTGGTCTACCCTATGTTACCAAAGGAATATAGAGGTGTGTGATAAATGGGATCTGTAACTAATGGGAGATAACCATCCCACCGCATCATATACCGGGGGATAAAAATGAGACATCATCACAACATTGGTGTCTTCTTCTTCCAAGAGGTAACACTATCTTTCAAATTTATACAGATCTGTTTCACATCTGTTCTATATAAGTGTACATACAATGAATATACTTACAGAAGCGTTGTTCTGGGTTTTCCAAACAACTGTGTCACCAGCTCTTTACTTGTGTCGGCTCCTTGATACGGCTGTCTGAAGACCCGGGACATGTCTGGGACAAGGATTTCTCCTTTGTAGTCCACGCTCAGCCGCCACCCTGCCCAAGCCCTGCACATATCACACAGACAGTTGTTAAAAAAGGGAGCTTCCTGTCCTGCACACACCACACAGACAGTAGTTAAACAAGGGAGGTTCCTGTCCTGCACACACCACACAGACAGTTGTTATACAGGGGACCTTCCTGTCCTGCACACATCACACAGACAGTTGTTATAAAGGGGACCTTCCTGTCCTGCACGCATCACACAGACAGTTGTTATACAGGGGACTTTCCTGTCCTTCACACATCACACAGACAGTAGTTATACAGGGGACCTTCTTGTCCTGCATGCATCACACAGACAGTTGTTATACAGGGGTCCTTCCTTCCTGTCCTGCATGCATCTCACAGACAGTTGTTATACAGGGGACCTTCCTGTCCTGCATGCATCACACAGACAGTTGTTATACAGGGGACCTTCCTGTCCTGCACGCACCACACAGACAGTTGTTATACAGGGGACCTTCCTGTCCTGCACACATCACACAGACAGTTGTTATACAGGGGACCTTCCTGTCCTGTACACATCACACAGACAGTAGGTATACAGGGGGCCTTCCTGTCCTGCACACATCACACAGACAGTAGGTATACAGGGGACCTTCCTGTCCTGCACACATCACACAGACAGTTGTTATACAGGGGGGCCTTCTTGTCCTGCATGTATCTCACAGACAGTTGTTATACAGGGGACCTTCCTGTCCTGCACACATCACACAGACAGTTGTTATACAGGGGGGCCTTCTTGTCCTGCATGCATCTCACAGACAGTTGTTATACAGGGGACCTTCCTGTCCTGCACGCATCACACAGACAGTTGTTATACAGGGGACCTTCCTGTCCTGCACGCATCACACAGACAGTTGTTATACAGGGGTCCTTCCTGTCCTGCACGCATCACACAGACAGTTGTTATAAAGGGGACCTTCCTGTCCTGCACACACCACACAGACAGTTGTTATACAGGGGAGCTTCCTGTCCTGCACACACCACACAGACAGTTGTTATACAGGGGACCTTCCTGTCCTGCACACACCACACAGACAGTTGTTATACAGGGGAGCTTCCTGTCCTGCACACATCACACAGACAGTTGTTATACAGGGGACCTTCCTGTCCTGCACACATCACACAGACAGTTGTTATACAGGGGGGCCTTCTTGTCCTGCATGCATCTCACAGACAGTTGTTATACAGGGGGCTATCCTGTCCTGCACGCATCACACAGACAGTAGGTATACAGGGGACCTTCCTGTCCTGCACACATCACACAGACAGTTGTTATACAGGGGACCTTCCTGTCCTGCACGCATCACACAGACAGTTGTTATACAGGGGACCTTCCTGTCCTGCACACATCACACAGACAGTTGTTATACAGGGGGGCCTTCTTGTCCTGCATGCATCTCACAGACAGCTGTTATACAGGGGACCTTCCTGTCCTGCACGCATCACACAGACAGTTGTTATAAAGGGGGCCTTCCTGTCCTGCACGCATCACACAGACAGTTGTTATAAAGGGGGCCTTCCTGTCCTGCACACATCACACAGACAGTTGTTATAAAGTGGAGCTTCCTGTCCTGCACACATCACACAGACAGTTGTTATACAGGGGACCTTCCTGTCCTGCACACATCACACAGACAGTAGTTATACAGGGGACCTTCTTGTCCTGCACACACCACACAGACAGTAGTTATACAGGGGACCTTCCTGTCCTGCACACATCACACAGACAGTTGTTATACAGGGGACCTTCCTGTCCTGCACCCATCACACAGACAGTAGTTATACAGGGGACCTTCCTGCCCTGCACCCATCACACAGACAGTTGTTATACAGGGGACTTCCCTGTCCTGCACACATCACACAGACAGTTGTTATACAGGGGACTTCCCTGTCCTGCATACACCACACAGACAGTAGTTATACAGGGGACTTCCCTGTCCTGCACGCATCACACAGACAGTTGTTATACAGGGGACCTTCCTGTCCTGCATGCATCTCACAGACAGTTGTTATACAGGGGACCTTCCTGTCCTGCACACATCACACAGACAGTTGTTATACAGGGGACCTTCCTGTCCTGCATACATCACACAGACAGTAGTTATACAGGGGACCTTCCTGTCCTGCACACATCACACAGACAGTTGTTATACAGGGGACCTTCCTGTCCTGCACACATCACACAGACAGTAGTTATACAGGGGACCTTCCTGTCCTGCATACATCACACAGACAGTAGTTATACAGGGGACCTTCCTGTCCTGCACACACCACACAGACAGTAGTTATACAGGGGACCTTCCTGTCCTGCACACATCACACAGACAGTAGTTATACAGGGGACCTTCCTGTCCTGCACACATCACACAGACAGTTGTTATACAGGGGACCTTCCTGTCCTGCACACATCACACAGACAGTTGTTATAAAGGGGACCTTCCTGTCCTGCATACATCACACAGACAGTTGTTATACAGGGGACCTTCCTGTCCTGCACACATCACACAGACAGTTGTTATACAGGGGACCTTCCTGTCCTGCACACACCACACAGACAGTTGTTATACAGGGGACCTTTCTGTCCTGCACACACCACAAAGACAGTAGTTATACAGGGGACCTTCCTGTCCTGCATACACATGATCAATACAGAATTTGTTGTTTACATGACATCAGCATAGACTCTCACCTGTCTTTACAACACTTGTGTATGGATGACGTGAGTATTTTCAAAAATGGTTTGCTTTTCAGAAGGAATCCAAGCCCAGGGAATTCCTCTACCCTATAGATGAGATTCTTATTCCCCGACAACTTCTCAAAACCTGAAAACAATAAGAAATATATTTATTCATGTCTGCAATGTCTGCAATTAAGCAGGGCATAAGAGCAAAATGCTTGCTTTTAAACTGCCACGTTTAGTAGATGTAAATAATGTTGTGACCCCACCCACTGCCATGTGTTTGACTGTGACCCCACCCACTGCTCTATGTTGACTGTGACCCCACCCACTGCCATGTATTGACTGTGACACCACCCACTGCTGTATGTTGAATGTGACCCCACCCACTGCCTTGTATTGACTGTGACCCCACCCACTGCCATGTATTGACTGTGACCCCACCCACTGCTGTATATTGACTGTGACCCCACCCACTGCCATGTGTTGACTGTGACCCCACCCACTGCCATGTGTTGACTGTGACCCCACCCACTGCCATGTATTGACTGTGACCCCACCCACTGCCATGTATTGACTGTGACCCCACCCACTGCTGTATGTTGACTATGACCCACCCACTGCTGTATGTTGACTGTGGCCCCACCCACTGCTGTATATTGACTGTGACCCCACCCACTGCCATGTGTTGACTGTGACCCCACCCACTGCCATGTGTTGACTGTGACCCCACCCACTGCCATGTATTGACTGTGACCCCACCCACTGCTGTATGTTGACTATGACCCACCCACTGCTGTATGTTGACTATGACCCCACCCACTGCTGTATGTTGACTGTGACTCCACCCACTGCTGTATGTTGACTGTGACTCCACCCACTGCTGCATGTTGACCCCACCCACTGCTGTATGTTGACTATGACCCACCCACTGCTGTATGCTGACCCCACCCACTTCTGTATGTTGACCCCACCCACTTCTGTATGTTGACTGTGACCCACCCACTGCTGTATGTTGACTGTGACTCCACCCACTTCTGTATGTTGACTGTGACCCACCCACTTCTGCATGTTGACTGTGACTCCACCCACTGCTGTATGTTGACTGTGACTCCACCCACTGCTGTATGTTGACTGTGACTCCACCCACTGCTGTATGTTGACCCCACCCACTGCTGTATGTTGACTGTGACTCCACCCACTGCTGTATGTTGACCCACCCACTGCTGTATGTTGACTATGACCCACCCACTGCTGTATGTTGACCCCACCCACTGCTGTATGTTGACTGTGACCCACCCACTGCTGTATGTTGACCCCACCCACTGCTGTATGTTGACTATGACCCACTGCTCTATGTTGACTGTGACCCACCCACTGCTGCATGTTGACCCCACCCACTGCTGTATGTTGACTGTGACTCCACCCACTGCTGTATGTTGACTATGACCCACTGCTGTATGTTGACTGTGACCCACCCACTGCTGCATGTTGACCCCACCCACTGCTGTATGTTGACTGTGACTCCACCCACTGCTGTATGTTGACCCCACCCACTGCTGTATGTTGACCCCACCCACTGCTGTATGTTGACTGTGACCCACCCACTGCTGCATGTTGACCCCACCCACTGCTGTATGTTGACCCACCCACTGCTGTATGTTGACCCCACCCACTGCTGTATGTTGACCCACCCACTGCTGTATGTTGACTGTGACCCACCCACTGCTGCATGTTGACCCCATCCACTGCTGTATGTTGACTCCACCCACTGCTGTATGTTGACCCACCCACTGCTGTATGTTGACTATGACCCACCCACTGCTGTATGTTGACCCCACCCACTGCTGTATGATGACCCCATCCACTTCTGTATGTTGACTGTCACCCCACCCACTGCTGTATGTTGACTCCACCCACTGCTGTATGTTGACCCCACCCACTGCTGTATGTTGACTATGACCCACCCACTGCTGTATGTTGACCCCACCCACTGCTGTATGTTGACTATGACCCCACTCACTGCTGTATGTTGACTATGACCCACCTACTCACTGCTGTATGTTGACTATGACCCACCCACTGCTGTATGTTGACCCCACCCACTGCTGTATGTTGACTATGACCCACCCACCCACTGCTGTATGTTGACTATGACCCACCCACCCACTGCTGTATGTTGACTATGACCCACCCACCCACTGCTGTATGTTGACTATGACCCACCCACCCACTGCTGTATGTTGACTATGACCCCACTCGCTGCTGTATGTTGACTATGACCCACCCACTGCTGTATGTTGACTATGACCCACCCACCCACTGCTGTATGTTGACTATGACCCCACCCACTGCTGTATGTTGACTCCACCCACTGCTGTATGTTGACTATGACCCACCCACTGCTGTATGTTGACTATGACCCACCCACTGCTGTATGTTGACTATGACCCACCCACCCACTGCTGTATGTTGACTCCACCCACTGCTGTATGTTGACTATGACCCCACCCACTGCTGTATGTTGACTCCACCCACTGCTGTATGTTGACTATGACCCACCCACTGCTGTATGTTGACTATGACCCACCCACTGCTGTATGTTGACTATGACCCACCCACCCACTGCTGTATGTTGACTATGACCCCACTCACTGCTGTATGTTGACTTTGACCCCACCCACTGCTGTATGTTGATTGCTACCCACCGTTATAGTTCCAGGCTGACACGCCCATGAGGCTGTCATCAGCATCCAGCACGGGGAGGAAGTGAGACATAAAATGTAGGAAGTTGGGAGCTAACAGCAGCTCTTCCTCTAGCACGATCACATGACTCTGAAAGCACAACAAGATCCATATGAATCAAATATTGGAGACCCCAGCTAGGTGTATTAAATAGGATGTTTCTTCAGTCAGCCCTTCAGGACAACAATCTATTTTGTACCTACAACACATTTTTATTCAGCTCACCTAGATGGTCAAGAGGAAATATTTTCTGGTGGTTTTTTTTGTAAAATCCGTGGACAATTTTTTTTCCCTGAATTTTGAGGAACACTTTATGTGTTTAAAAGATATATTTAGTACTTGGAACACCAACTAATATGACAAATATCCTATCCTTAAATGCTATACTCACAGAATCAGGATAGACCAGATCTATTTTTCTCAGAGCTTTGGCCATTTGTTCTGTGAAACAAAAAACATTCATTTCAAAAATGGACGATAAACAAAAAGCAAAAGTGATTCTTTGACATTTGACTGGCTAACCAAGCAATATTTTGGTGTTTATGTTTCCATGAACGTTAAGAAAATATATACTACTGTTTCCTTATTGGGCGATAATAACGTGGGTGTGGCTTGTGTTGCGCTGAACGATTTCACTGATTTTGTATAATTGTCTTCAAATTCAGGTCTGTGAGGTTACAGGTGACAGATGTACTTACAAGAATTGACTTCAATGTCTTTTCCTTTCTGGAGGTACAAATGTCAAAAGTGGGGCGCACATGTTTACGCCATGCAGATTTACAAAGTTACAAGTTTTTTAAGATTATACCAGCGTAAAAGCAAAAGGTGTTGACTTCAATTCTTTACAAACAAATTTTCTTGAGAGAGGATACATCATGTTTGTCATAATTGAGATTAACAAATTTGCTCATAAAACATGCTTTGTTAACAATGCACAACAATTAAAGAATCATTTGAAATTATAATTACCAGTGCTTCTGTTTACCCGTAACTGACTTGTAAAATACAACTTAGACCAGAACACTGTTCCTCCCGTTTACTATAAAAATTCACCTGTTTAAGACAGTCCAACTCACCAAAATACTGCACACTGCCTTTTAAACTGGCATTTCTAAAGCCGAACAAATCGGCCAATTCCCCGTGCTCTGGAAACTTCTCATCCCACATGACCTGTAACAAGAGTGAGTGAGTGAGTATGGTTTTGCGCCGCTTTTAGCAATATTCCAGCAATATCACAGCGGGGGACACCAGAAACAGGCTTGACACATTGTACCCATGTCCGGAATCAAACCAGGGTCTTCAGCTTTAACCACTAGGCTACCTGACGCCCCCTGTAACAAGACCGTCATGCATACCGACAGTCAACACTTGCACCAACACAACATGATATACATGCTTGTCTTGCATTACAGTTGCTCCAACATAACATATACATGCTTGTCTTGCATTACAGTTGCACCAACATAACATGATATACATGCTTGCCTTGCATCACAGTTGCACCAACATAACATGATATACATGCTTGTCTTGCATCACAGTTGCACCAACATAACATGATATACATGCTAGTCTTGCATTACAGTTGCACCAACATAACATATACATGCTTGTCTTGCATCACAGTTGCACCAACATAACATGATATACATGCTTGTCTTGCATCACAGTTGCACCAACATAACATGATATACATGCTTGTCTTGCATCACAGTTGCACCAACATAACATGATATACATGCTTGTCTTGCATTACAGTTGCACCAACATAACATGATATACATGCTTGTCTTGCATCACAGTTGCACCAACATAACATGATATACACGCTTGCCTTACATTACAGTTGCACCAACATACCATGATATACATGCTTGTCTTGCATTACAGTTGCACCAACATAACATGATATACACGCTTGTCTTGCATTACAGTTGCACCAACATAACATGATATACATGCTTGTCTTGCATTACAGTTGCACCAACATAACATGATATACATGCTTGTCTTGCATCACAGTTGCACCAACACAACATGATATACATGCTAGTTTTGCATTACAGTGCACCAACATAACATGTACATGCTTGTCTTGCATCACAGTTGCACCAACACAACATGTACATGCTTGTCTTGCATTACAGTTGCACCAACATAACATGATATACACACTAGTCTTGCATTACAGTTGCACCAACATAACATGTACATGCTTGTCTTGCATCACAGTTGCACCAACATAACATGTACATGCTTGTCTTGCATTACAGTTGCACCAACATAACATGATATACATGCTAGTCTTGCATTACAGTTGCACCAACATAACATGTACATGCTTGTCTTGCATCACAGTTGCACCAACATAACATAAACATGCTTGTCTTGCATTACAGTTGCACCAACATAACATGATATACATGCTTGTCTTGCATTACAGTTGAACCAACATAACATGTACATGCTTGTCTTGCTTCACAGTTGCACAAACATAACATATACATGCTTGTCTTGCATTACAGTTGCACCAACATAACATGATATACATGCTTGTCTTGCATTACAGTTGCACCAACACAACATGTACATGCTTGTCTTGCATTACAGTTGCACCAACATAAAATGATATACATACTTGTCTTGCATCACAGTTGCACCTACATAACATGTACATGCTTGTCTTGCATTACAGTTGCACCAACATAACATGATATACATACTTGTCTTGCATCACAGTTGCACCTACATAACATGCTTTATATTTTCCAACGTCACTGCGTGAGAACCAATTGTTATATTTTTGTCCGCCTTACTGTACAGTTTTACTCACAGCCACCATGTCTGGCTTCATCCCTGGCTGCATCAGTGTCGTCTCCAGAGTCCGCACCAGAGCGTTGTGGTTCAACCCTGACAAACAAACCGATTGAGTTAGCAAATATGATTCAAAGTATGCTTTAGTTTCAAAATATGAATCAATAGGAGGATCTACAATCTTGAAATATTCTGGAGAGCGGCAGGTCCGAGGTTCGATCCCCGGCTACGTCATACCAAAAGACGTTAAAAGATGGTACTTGTTGTTACACTGTCTGGCGCTCGGCATTAAGGGGCTAAAACAAGGACTGGTCGGCTCGGAGTCAGTATACTGTGTCTGAGTGGGGTATTCATGTTAAACTGCAGCATGGTATCTCAGTGAGCTAGCACTATAAATCGGCATCAGTCCGGACTAGTACAAGCAGCCACACACACACACTCACACATGCACGTCGCTATATAAGTGCAATAATCTTGGACGTGACGTTAGACCCCATTTCACCTCACCTCACCTCACCTTGTACAAAATGTATTTGTTTTGTTTAAAAACCTTTCACCCAATAACGTATCAACATTTTTATCCCAAGACTGTATTTAAAAACAAGCCAATGTGGAGAAGGCATTCTGTACCCACCTGGCACCACAATGATGGGTGTGGAGAAGATGCGATGGCTCTGTAATGCTTTGTCCACAACACCCACTGGCTTCAGGAAATCATCAACATGGGTAGCTGAAAGATAAGTTAAATACTGAAACATAATCTGATATGTACTGTAAAATCATATGTAACACATGAATGTCAACATTCAACATGAAACAAGCGTATAGTTGACAAAGTCATCTATATCCCCCGCCCATTTTAACATGTTATGGTCCCAAACCAGGCAACTGACCCAACATTTCTCTTAGCCGATGTCAAAATAGCTGCAATGGAAATTCTAAAATAAACATTTCTAAAACTCCTTAATATCAAATGGCACTAGTTCAGTATGCGCTTTATATATAGACATGCAATGTTTGGCAAGGAAATATTTAACAGTTTATTTGTTATACTCCTTAAGTAAACCAATCCTATATTAAAACTTAAATCCAACTTGTTGTCATGGAAACATAGACAATAAAAATTTCTAAAAGTGCTATATATCAAAAGGCCTCAGTTCAGTATGTGCCTGGTAGACATGCTAAGTTTTGTGAGAAAGTATTTAACGTTTTTTGAGTTACGCTCTAGAAACGAACACCACCCCTGTGGAACCTAAGTCCAACTTGTTGCCATGGAAACGTAACAAATAAAAATTTGTAAAACTCCTAAATAGCAAAAGGCACCAGTTCAGTATGTGTCTGGTAAACATGCAAAGTTTTGTAAGAAAGTATTTAATGGTTTTTGAGTTACGCTCCGGAATCGAACAGCACCCTTATAGAACCTAAGTCCAACTTGTTGCCATGGAAACGTAAAAAATAAAAATTTATAAAATTCCTAAATAGCAAAAGGCACCAGTTCAGCGTGAGTCTGATAGACATGCAAAGTTTCGTAGAGAAATATTTAACGGTTTCTGAGTTATGCTCTGGAAACGATTTCGGGACGCACACACGCACACACGCACACTCACACACGCACACGCACACACGCTCACACGCACACACGCACACACACACACAGACGGAACCCATTTCTATAACCCCCGCCAACTTCGTTGGGGCGGGGGATAATCATATAAAAAATATCACATTTATTTATTTGATACAAAGGAATTTCTAACCACTGTCATTACAAAGCCATATCAAGCATACGTATATTCACAGCATTTCCTGAACACATCTTCAAGAATTTACAAAGAATCAAAACACCTAACACAAGTTAAGGGAGGTAACTCTGATCATTTTCCAAAACAAAAGTTCGTTTTCACAGACAAAGACACAGATTTATTTCAGTAATGTAAGGCCACAGGCCCATAATTCATTTCACTAGGTAGGTTTTTTTTCCCAAGCATGTATTTCCAAATGCATATATGCTCACATTCCTCAAGTAAATACTGAACATTGTTAGCACCCATGTCCTCCTATAAACACAACACCAATATTTAACTCACAATTGTTCATAACTCATGTGATATAACTTGACCAAAAAACGTGTCATTGATATGTTGTCAACACACTCAGACAATTGCAACGTGCTGAAGTTAGACACTTACGATCACAGAACTCTGGATAGCCGTCATACTTCTTACAAAACTCCCTCCTTGCATCATTACGGTACACGTCGGGATCAGGAACAATCTTCTGACCTTTAACTGGAGGAAATAACACATGTCAGAAGCGTTCTGTGAATCAATTGGGGTGTGGGGTAGCTTAGTGGTCAAAGTGTTCACTCGTCACAACGAAGGCCTGGTTCGATTTCACACATGGGTACATTGTGTGAAGCTCATTTCTGGTGTCCCCTGCCATGATATTGCTGGAATATTGCCAAAAGCAGCGTACTCACTCACTCACTCACTCACTCACTCAATGAGTGACTGCTTACTGCAGTACCCAGCAATATGCAAGCTATATCACAGCAGCCTTAGTTGTCATACAAATAAAACAAATATATCCAATACAGCCAATGAAAGTCTATAATAGTGGGAAAGTCTAGATTACTGCACTCTCTAGTATCCTTCTTCATATATTTCATTAAGATAAATTTACGACAGTTTTTTTCTGTAAAATATGTTCACATCAGAGACTAGATGTTAGTCTTCAGCGGCCTCTTAATAATCAGTCGGGGTCAGACAAACCAGTGTTTGATAATATGAGCAGTCAGGGTATGATGACATGCCATCAAGCAGGTCACAAATCTGAAAAAAAAATGACGACTAACTGCTATACTAGTAATCATGGTACCGGTGATACAATTGGACAAAAAGTCTTGAAATCTTACTTTTTCTGGGAACACAGAATGATTTCTTTATAATCTTTGGCCATTCTCCCTCAAATCCTGCATAGCTGATCTGAAAATAGATACCACATCTATTACACACGGAAAGAAGGATATACCACTCAGTGGCAGGTGATGTGCTTGTACTAGTCCGGACTGATGCCGATTTATAGTGCTAGCTCACTGAGATACTATGCCACAGTTTAACATGAATACCCCACTCAGACACAGTATACTGACTCTGAGCCGACCAGTCCTTGTTTTAGCCCCTTAATGCCGAGCGCCAGACAGGGTAACAACAAGTACCATCTTTCAACGTCATTAGGAACGTCGCGGCTGGGGACCAAACCCAAGACCTTCCGCTCTCCGGGTGGACACTCTACCACTAGACCACGGAAGTGGTCAGAGGAAGGTTATACTATGTCATTAAAATTTTCGTCATTAAAGTCAGATATTTTATTCCAGGGTGGCTATACATGGCAGAAGGTGACACTTGATGGAATTTACCCACAGTGAAGCTACACATCGTGGAATGTTGTGAAAGTTAGTGATTACACTCTCCAAGGTTACAGTCAGTGGAAGGAAATCATAGTTAACTCTAAATAAAAAAACCTGCAGAAATGCCTGAAAGTGAAGTGACAAGAAACAAGAGAAATAAAATCCCCCATCACATCCAGGTACACTGAGATGATGTCACTGTACCAAAGTTGGGAACAGAACCCAGGCCATATTCAAAACTACAGCAACAACCTTTCAACATGACCAAACAGAGAAAATATGTAACAAACTTAATCTGATCAAAGTGTAATGTCAACCCAGTCTTCTTAAAAAATATTAAAAAATAGTTTCAATTTTTTTACCTGCCTCCTGATCTATCTTCATTGGATTAGAAAAATGAAAAGAGAAAACTAAAAAAAATCAAAAGTAAAAGCTTACGTTAAAAAACAAATTGATTAATCATGTAACAAACAAATAATAGATTAACAGTGATAACAAACTGAACATTGCCAAGTCCAAGGTTAATAATACACCTCCATAAAAACATGTTAAACCTTAGAACACATACTCACAGTGTGACCGCTACCTGTAATATTGTTAAGTATGTTATAGTGACACATCTACCTTAGGCTAAAAAAATAATTGTCTTGGTTCTCAGCCACCGCTCGCATCATCATAAAGTTTGCTGCATGTTTTGTTTTAATTTCAATTTTTTTTAAATATATATAAAAAATCCTTAAATATTCCAAGTCAAACTTGTAGTCCAGTATTTTACTCATCAAGGAATACATTTATGTAGGGAGGCCCTTTCCCAGGTTGATTGTACACAATTGTTTATTGATTACACAACTGTTTATTCGTTACATACTAGTTTTAACAACAACAACAAAAAAGACACTGCCTGCCCACACTATATTTTCAAAAACCATTGCCTGAGAACCAATACTTTAAGACAGACGGTGACATTTGGATTATTTGTTTCAATTGTCAGGTTTCAGATCATCCAAGTGAACATTACAATCTACTGCTATAACAGTACAGTGAACGAACTCTTGCAGTGACTATTAGCATGGAGTGGTTGATACCGTAACGTGGACTGCTACAACTGTCTGGGTGCTTACCTGCTCCATCTGGGTGAAGCCCTCGATGCCCTTCTGTCCTACAAAGAACCAGACATCTCTGAAGCGGAGATTCTGTATCAGTCCGCTCCCCAGCTGGTTCATCAACTCCCGGGCCATATAACCCAGCCTGGAATAAGGGAATGAATGAGTTCATGTTGCATGATGCAGTCAGTAATAAATAGTCTATGGCAACCTGTAAACTTGGGGTTTATTCTGTTCAGGTATAGTCTTTGGGAGACAAGCATGAGGTGTGAGAGTCTATAGTGCCCAAGAATATCTAAAGGGAGACAATCACCAGATGTGAGGATCTTTTCTGCCCAAGAATATCAAAAGTGAGACAAGCATGAGGTTTGAGAACCTTCTCTGACCCAGAATATCTAAAGGGAGACAAGCATGAGGTGTGAGGATCTTTTCTGACCAAGAATATCTAAAGGGAGACAAGCATGAGGTGTGAGGATCTTTTCTGCCCCAGAATATCACAAGGGAGACAAGCATGAGGTGTGAGGATCATTCCTGCCCCAGAATATCTAAAGGGAGACAAGCATGAGGTGTGAGGATCTTTTCTGCCCCAGAATATCACAAGGGAGACAAGCATGAGGTGTGAGGATCTTTTCTGCCCCAGAATATCTAAAGGGAGACAAGCATGAGGTGTGAGGATCTTTTCTGCCCCAGAATATCTAAAGGGAGACAAGCATGAGGTGTGAGGATCTTTTCTGCCCCAGAATATCACAAGGGAGACAAGCATGAGGTGTGAGGATCATTCCTGCCCCAGAATATCTAAAGGGAGACAAGCATGAGGTGTGAGGATCTTTTCTGCCCCAGAATATCACAAGGGAGACAAGCATGAGGTGTGAGGATCTTTTCTGCCCCAGAATATCTAAAGGGAGACAAGCATGAGGTGTGAGGATCTTTTCTGCCCCAGAATATCACAAGGGAGACAAGCATGAGGTGTGAGGATCATTCCTGCCCCAGAATATCTAAAGGGAGACAAGCATGAGGTGTGAGGATCTTTTCTGCCCCAGAATATCACAAGGGAGACAAGCATGAGGTGTGAGGATCTTTTCTGACCCAGAATATCACAAGGGAGACAAGCATGAGGTGTGAGGATCATTCCTGCCCCAGAATATCACAAGGGAGACAAGCATGAGGTGTGAGGATCTTTTCTGACCCAGAATATCACAAGGGAGACAAGCATGAGGTGTGAGGATCTTTTCTGACCCAGAATATCTAAAGGGAGACAAGCATGAGGTTTGAGAACCTTTTCTGACCAAGAATATCTAAAGGGAGACAAGCATGAGGTGTGAGGATCTTTTCTGACCAAGAATATCTAAAGGGAGACAAGCATGAGGTGTGAGGATCTTTTCTGACCCAGAATATCAAAAGGGAGACAAGCATTAGGTTTGAGAACCTTTTCTGACCCAGAATATCACAAGGGAGACAAGCATGAGGTGTGAGGATCATTCCTGCCCCAGAATATCACAAGGGAGACAAGCATGAGGTGTGAGGATCTTTTCTGACCCAGAATATCACAAGGGAGACAAGCATGAGGTGTGAGAACCTTTTCTGACCCAGAATATCACAATGGAGACAAGCATGAGGTGTGAGGATCTTTTCTGCCCCAGAATATCAAAAGGGAGACAAGCATGAGGTATGAGGATCTTTCCTGACCCAGAATATCACAAGGGAGACAAGCATGAGGTGCTAGGATCTTTTCTGACCCATAATATATAAAGAGACCTGCACCACAGTCATAAATACATCTTACAAACAGCACTTCAAGCATCCTCATCCCGTACAGTCACTGAAGACAGCACATCCCTCATACAGTGGACTTTATGACAAAACTGACCTTAACATGTTTATCAAAATTGACACGTTCAATGATGCTGGTTTACATTTCTTCCACAACATTCAAAATAATGTGGAATCTGTCAAAACCGGAGTCTGGGCCTACAAAGTGCTAAGATGATCGTAACTCCCATACTTTAATATAGGCTTACAATAGTTGTAGCGTTAAGATCGCTTTGAGCATGTAGCCCCAGGACTGATTCTGGATCTATGTCAATACCTGAAAAGATTTATTGCCCGGATTTACACTGTTAGTTCACAGTCAAGTAAAATAACCAGGACACATGTCTTAACAAGTTTAAATTTTTGGTGCCACACAAATCCCGTTCAGAGAAAATTGCACTTTAATATGATAACCCATCATTGCAATGTACAATAATAGGATAGAGATAATTTCTCCACATCATTACTTCTTGGCACCATCGTCTGCGACGAGTGAGATGATGATGTCTCTGTCTCCTAGGGACTCCAGTAGTATCTCCAAGTCTGTGCTGTCTGGATAACAGAGAAGCAGACAGGAGTCAACAACAGCAGGGACAAACACAGGTTCCCAGCAGAGTGTTTGATAGGAAGTGTGAAAGTCAAGGATCAATGGGCCATGTTCATGTGGTGAAAAGTCCTTGATTCAAGTATTATCTGGGATTTATCCAAACTTAGCACCCTTGGCAAGTAAACTGGTACAAACTTGAGATATTCAATCATTGTTCAAAATTTGGTTATTTTAATGTTCTTATGAGGAATTATGATATTTTTTATTCAATGTAGGAATTTTTACTTTTATTTGCAACAGACTTGGGGCCGAACATCAGCCTCTGAACAGGTCTCGACAAACCTCTGATCATTGGAGCAATTATCAAGGATCACATACCATCACAGATTAACTACAGTAATATGAAAGAATTGGGTGTTCCTTAACTTCTTTAGAGTAGTATACTATTTGTAAAATTGACTGCTGTCTGTGCGTTTATCAAATCTTTGATGCCTTGCAACAGGTCAGGATATTATCTGGGATTCCAAACTGTGTGCTCCTTTCAATTTCAAGTTGAGACCATGTTTAGAAATGTTACCACTAGAATTCATCTCAGACTAGTTGTTTCCCAAACATAGCTACATTAGGGAGAAAAATGTCTAATACTAATATAATTCTAATACATATACAGCCCTTTAACCGTTCTGTGATTCCCAGCAAATATGTCCTGCAATGCTACATCCTAGTCCACCAACATCCAGGTACAATCAGAGTGTGAGAATCATGACAATCTAACACTCTTCCCCCTGTAACCATTGTAAAAATGGACAGTCTTACCATACGTATAGGTGTCCACTCGTGAGATCATCTTAGGAACACCATTATCTGGGTCAACAACGAGGACGTTAAACCCACGGCCTCCATTATTCAGATTCTCGGTCATCATCCTGGAGGAATAAAAGTTAACATGCACAATTTGGAACAGAAGTAAAATATCAAAACTGTAGGAGACATGATGCAGGCATGTGATTGAAGAAGGACGACAAAGACTGATGAGACATGTCTTCTTGGCTTGGAAAATTCAGAGACTCATGTTCGACATTGAAACATCAAAAAGATCGAAAATTCTGACATTAGACGAAATATCACATGCCTGCTAATGAGATATGAAGACAAAGTCATCTACATCTTTCTTCATCCTTGTATACAGACAATTGTAAGTGACTAACCTGAACATAACTGTGATTGAGTGAGTAAGTGAGTTGGGTTGAACTTTTAACAGTATTCCAGTTATATCACGGCGTGTCAGATTAATGTGGGTGGAAAGCCCCAGGTGATGCAGGTTTCAGACGTTTACCACTTCAGTGAAACCCACGAGCACGGGTATGGTGCTGACAAACCTAGAAACATAATCAGGGCGAACCGGGATTGGAACCCACAATCATAGGTTTCTGGCGTGCCCAAGGGACGCAACTCTGTATAGCTAATTGCGGCACCTTGTACGAATGGGCCACCCGTGGTAGAATAGGTCTTCAGCAACCCATGCATGCTGTAAAAAGCAACAATGCTTGTCATAATAGGCAACTAACAGGATCGGGTGGTTGATGCATGTCATCGTATCCCAATTTTGGGGATCCATGCTCATGATATCAATCACTGGATTGTCTGGTCTAGACTCGATTATTTACAGACCACTGTCATATACCTGGAATATTGCTGAGTGGGGACTTAAACAACAAACAAACAAACAAATACTGTGAAATCAATCAGCATCAGTACTGTCATGTCCATAGCAAACCAGCCTAATACACCTGCAAAGTTTCATGGAGAAAGAGGGTTTGGCATCTGTAACAAACGGTAAACTCAAAGGAAGTTATTGCTAAGGAAAGCAAAAGCAAAACTGTTAATAATTCTGAAAAGCAAATGGCACTTGCCTAATGGGTGCGCAAAGTTTCACAAATAAATATTAAAAAGTTTAAAAAAACATGATGAGCCTGAATTTCGGCCCAAAACACAAAGAAAGAAAAGTTCCCTAACCTCAACCGAACCTAATAACAAAACACTCTGGAAGTTACTTCAAACACAGTTTGATCACATCTGATCAGCCATTTTGTAAGTTTGTTACCGGGTTATCTGAGACTGACGAGATACTTACAGATGGCCACTGACGCAGATCTCTGGCTGGACCTTGTTGCCCTCCCCAGAGAAGACGCTGACAGGGAAGGAGTGTGGGCCGCAGGACTCCGGCACCCCACAGTTGGCCATGGTTGGCCCCAGCTCCATCTCCTTCTGGTGGATCACCCTTGGCAACAGCATCTGCAGGTCTCGCTTTGGGCCCACTGCAACAACCAATCGAGGCAGTGAGTGTGTTGTGGTTGGTTGGTTTGTTGTTTAACGACGCGCTCAGCAATATTCCAGCTATATGACAGCGGTCTGTAAATAATCGAGTCTGGACCAGACAATCCAGTGATATCATGATATCATGAGCATCGATCAACCCAATTTGGATCGATGACCTGCATCAACCAGGTCAGCAAGCCTGACCACCGGATCCCGTTAGTCGCCTCTTACGACAAGCATTGTCGCCTTTTACGGCAAGAATGGGTTGCTGAAGACCTATTCTACCCCGGATCTTCTAGGGTCATACGGGAGAGTATTTCAGTGACATCATGATGTTGGATGTCCGATATGAAACAGGTCACAGATGCTGACCACTTTGGTAAGCCAAAACCACAAGTTAGTGAGTAAAGGCTTTGAAATTTGTTTTAAGACTAGTCCAGAAGACTGGTGTAAACCTTAATCGGTCGTCATCAGTTTGTAGCTAGTGCTGATTTGAACAAGACAAAACTTTTCGATATGTTTACATTTATTCAGTTCCAATGGGTAGGAAAATTGAAGCATTGAGAAATGGTGCAGATCACTGCAAATTTGAATAGTCACAGACTAGTGGACTGGCATGATTTTCAAAGCTGCAAGTGTGCAGTGTTTGTCAAGGCTTTGGACAGCATTTCAGTTACAACATGACAAGTCAGGGTACTACGAATAATTGTTTTGCAGATGTTTACCAGTTTGGTAACCATGGTAACGTGCATGGATACGATGCTGACAAACAAGGAATTATTTATAATCACGATAATCATGTTGCACTTTGAGATTGACAAGCAGAATGACAGAGCCCGTTGTACTGATATTCAAACTAAGCTCCAAGACAGTGAGTTGAAGGAGTGAATGAGTTGAGTCATTTTCCGCACATCAAAGAAATCTTTCAGTTTCAGTTTTTCACTCAGATCACACTTATGTGCCAAGTTTGGTGAAAAAATATCATACAGTTTTCAAGCTGTGCTCCGGAAATGAGGACTGCTGCCATTTTCAGTCAAAGTCAAAGTCGTTGCCATGGAAACTCGAAAAAAAAATTTTTTTTAAATCCCAAACGATCAAAAGGCACCAGTTCACCACTAGACCTATCTATGGGCCAAGTGTGGTTAAGATATCTCTCATGGTTTTTGTGTTCTGCTCCGGAAACGAAGTGTGACGGACGGACGAACGGATGGAAAGACGGACGGACGGCACCCATTCCTGTATCCCCCTTCCACTTCGTGGCGGGGGATAATAACTAGGAGCAAGTCTCAAGGAGTCCAAGGACTCCCTTAATTCCACATACTGCTAAAGAATGAAGGGGTTTCAGTTACACAGAAACTGTATACCAGCACATGAGAAGAACAGTTGGGTACAGGTCTTACACGGAATTCATTCACATCAAGCTGTTTACTTACTTGGCAGTGAAAAACAACCTGCTTTCTCCATCACATCTGAGAAGTCTTGATGGTTCTTTCTCTTCACAACCTGCAAGACATGTACTTCTATGACAAATACATACACTCTGTGGGGATTACAGAGAGCTGGGTCTTCAAGAAAGAACAATTGGCTAAAACAAACAATCAATGAAAACAAACTTCTCTTTCTAAAACACAAGCTAATAAACTATGCTTTTGAAAATAGATCCATGGCCTGAATGCTGACATGGTAAAACTTGCAATACTTTAAACAAACTGGAAAATGTTGCCACAATTTGTTGGCAGGTGCCAGTAAGTGGGGTTTAATGCTGGTTTGAACAGTATTCCAGTTATATCACGGCGTGTCACCTCAATGAGGAAGGAAAGCTCAAAGTGATGCAGGTCTCTGATGTTTACCACTTTGGTGAAACCCTGAAGCATGGGTATGTTCTGACAGACCTAGACACATAATCAGGGAGAACCAGGATTTGTACACATGATTATAGGTTTCTGGCGTGTTAGAAAATGAATCCAATAGACTGTACACCAACTGACATATTCAATGGCGTGGCCCTCCTGCAGCCCCTTCTGGCCAATCATTAGGAAGCCATCACGAAACTGCAAGTTGTCAGCTCCAGAACTCCCAAAATATTTCAGCCATCTTTTCCCATCTTCCTTCAGACTGAAAAGACAAAATGGTCAACTGTGATCTTGAAACGTAACAAGCTCTGACAGACTATTTCAAGATGGTTGACTCTTTTTTCTCAGCTACAGGACTCTTTAAGGAAACACATTCACCTTCAGGAGACAGTCTTACTATGAAAAGACAAGTCAGTTGAGGGAGAACTCACTTGAAGGATTGTTACTAATCCCAAGGACATCTCACCTTGAGACAACTCACTTGAGGGAGAGTGACTGATCCCAAGGACATCTCACCTTGAGGAGACAACTCACTTGAGGGAGATTGACTGATCCCAAGGACATCTCACCTTGAGACAACTCACTTGAGGGAGAGTGACTGATCCCAAGGACAACTCTCCTTGAGGAGACAACTCACTTGAGGGAGAGTGACTGATCCCAAGGACTACTCACTTGAGGGAGAGTTACTGATCCCAAGGACAACTCTCCTTGAGGAGACAACTCACTTGAGGGAGAGTGACTGATCCCAAGGACTACTCACTTGAGGGAGAGTTACTGATCCCAAGGACAACTCTCCTTGAGGAGACAACTCACTTGAGGGAGAGTGACTGATCCCAAGGACAACTCACTTGAGGGAGACTGACTGATCCCAAGGACAACTCACCTTGAGGAGACTTCATCATAACTGGTCATGATGATGACTGTCTCCGCTGGCATCTTCTTGAGGAACCTAATCAGCCCTGAATCTGAAACAGTTCAGGTAAGTACCTTGAATATATCTCATCTTTGTCCAACCTTCTCGGAGGACATGGACAGCCAGCATATACAACAACATCAAAGTGTAAGTTCATGTATGTGTTTTCCACTATGAACGTGACAATTACAAGCTCCATGTGTAAACATTCACTATTTGTATAAATAAATGCTCTTACTATCATGTTTGACAAATAGATATATGTTTTAATATCGTGCAACACAGTAGCTCTTACCTTCAACGTAGGTGTCGAATGTCTTAATATCTGTCACATCAAATGTCTTCTCTGAAACATAAAACAAAATATGAGCAAAGCTAATGTGACAATGTTGTATATATAATAACAATCTTGTCTATTTTAGCACAACAAAAACGCATACATTTTAACATCCACAACGGTGGGATTATGAGTTGCAGGTGACACTAGTGGATGTACGAGATGTTAAGAGCTGAATGGACCTGTATATATATGTATGTGACAATATGATCTATCTTGAGATCAGGGTAAATGGGGACGTGACAAGCAAGTGATGTCGCCTCAAACATGACGTCATGATATTCTGTACATGCTGGTCATGTATAGTGTAATAAGACGGCAACCAGTCAATCAGATAGATAGCCTTTAACGAGTAATAATAAAGCATTCTCCACATCATCTCATCCACCACAACACTCCAACTCGTACCACTGATGGAGATGATGTTCAACCCCCTGCCGAAGTTCTTCATTTCCGGGCTTATTAAGCTGTAAAGAAATAAAACATGATACACATACACACACTGATACTTCATTTAGAAGATCCTTATTTTACACCACTGTCAGGCAATGGACAAAGGCAAACAAGTGGTTGACAGCATGAGCAACAATAAACATGGTTGTGTCACCTCATATAATACTCATATCTAAAGTAACAGTTTTCTGTAGAAATGTATGTACTTAGGTAGGGTAAGATTAAATCTAATGCAGAGCTCCAGATAAGCTTTTGGTGTTGTGGGTATTTTACCCATGCATTTTAAAATCATTGGGTATCAGTAATTCTATCAGGGTTTTCAAATTTCTGTTACCCACTAGTTTTTACACATGTGGGTATTTAAGTTAAATATTTAAAAACACTATTCATCTAGTCCCTGCAAACTGGTGTCGTGTGGGTTCGAGAGCTTTATAGGACTCAAAAATACCAAGATACTTCCACAAGAAAGTGTGATGGCAAATGATCATGACGTAACTGTCATCATGGAGTTTGGCAAGGTTGACGGAATGTCCGTTTATAATTTCAAAATAAGTTGCTGATTTGCTAATCGAATACGCAGGTTTACTGCACAATATTTTGATGATACGCACAAGTTTTATTTTTGTAGCGAATCTGTAATGTTCGTTGCGTATTTGATACGCTTGGATTTTATTTTACTGCATATTTCTGCATTTTTTATGCCTATTTTACGCAGATACGTAGCTTATCTGGAGCTCTGCTAATGTCTGACTAATTGAGAAAAAACACCAAGTAAGATGGTATAGTACTGACACTTCTCCCTCAAAGCAGATGGTTGGTCCTGCCTTGTTGCCGTCTCCGGTCCGGACATAGAATGCAAGCTGGTTGTTCTCACACTTAACCCCACAGCGAGAATCTGAAATATTACCATTGTGTAACCATGTGCACAGGTGATTTCACTATTTATTTCTAAATTTTTAAAATATTGATCTTACAAAAGTTAAATACTCTGAATACAGACCAACAGTCATCCTCAACATGAATACTGCTCTATTCCATCAAAAATATTGACACATTCAGAGTATGCAATCTATTTATAACCATCTTCCCGAGGCAAGGGAGTTAACTTACTATAATAGTCCAGTTTCCCCCCTTGCCAAACTAGGCAGGAATTATGGAGTTACACTTTGGCTGGACTAACAAACCTATGCATAGTCCAATCAAAATCACATAACGAAATTTCCATCCGGTTCATGTTCAACATGGCAACTGACGTGCAGATATCAGTCGATTGCAGGATTTGCAGAGCATGTGTACCGTCAAATGGGCATTCTACCATGAATTTGGAATTTACTTGATTCTGATTGGTCAATCAGAGGCTATTAAATCACAATAAACCCCCTCTGATTGAAACAGCTGGTTTGACGGCCGCATCACCGCGGAAGCTAATATTCAGAGAATAGTACTATTTTCAGTCATTGTCGGTAGGCATATTTAAATAACTATATCTACAATTACATGTTACAAAATGCACAGATGCGGTTACTACAATATTCAAAGGATGTGTGGCAATACATTTCGTGCAGAAAAACACGACAGAAATCAACAAAGGGAATGTATTTACGTTTTGGAGACAACAGAGAGCTTGAAATTTTGGCGCTTTTCTATATACGACTGTGACGTCATATCTTTTGCGTCACAATCTGCGATATGACGTCATAATGGTGACACGCGATGTAGAGCGAAAGCCTTGCAAAGCTTGCTTTGTTTTCTTTAGGGATGCTCACTTCATGTTAGCTTACCAAGTTGCCGTGCTTATATGCTTTCAATGCCTGTCATATGTTCGAGTGAAGTATTACGGTGTAAACAAACTGCTTGAGTACATACAGCACCATATTTTGTTCGGTGATTCCGTAATTTAGATCGATAATTACCCACTCAAAACACTGAACTCAACCCATGCCGCTTCACTCAGTATATTTGCTAACACCAAAGAGTTCGCGTTTTATTTAGTCATGGTAGAATGGAGATAAACATACTGTGTTTTCAATGTAGAGCTAGGTTACCTGTAGATTTATAGGGCTAAATTTAACATTTGAAACCTCACGCTGCGCGTTCGGTTCCCAATACAATTTAGCGGGGTTAAATCTACAGGTAACCTAGCTCTACATTGAAATCACAGTATGTTTATCTCCTAATCAACAGATATTTTCCAAATATTTTTATGTTTTTAACCAAATCAGATCGTCTTGGTTGAGCCAGCCATTTTGTTTTTCAGCAAATGCAAGTGATATGAGAGCTGGAATCTGATTGGTCAGTAGGAGGGACATAGAAGGGAAATAACTCGTAACAGCCACTGGCAGCGCTACATTCCACCTACGAAATTCCAGCCTAGTTCAGCAACTTTTATAGTCAGTTAACTCCATTGTCTAGGGAAGATGATTTATGTCAGACAATAATCTGAAATGCCTCTGAAACAAGGATTGGGTTTTATCATGTTGAATAACACAAGGAGGTGTACATTGTGGGAACAAGCTCCTCATTCCATCGCTATACTACTGTGACAGCTGTACTATTACTTCCACAGTATCTCAATAGCGTTTGTAACGACTGCAATCCAGGAACCAATGAAATACTCTGTGAAAATTCCGCCAACAGTAATCACTTGCTGAAGATACGTAGGTATCATAAGGCTTTGATCACCATATTTAATATTGCACAAAAACTGTGTGAACATAATATGAGGTGATGTGAAATGGGGTTTAATGTTGCGTTCAAGAATATTGCACTTATATATCAACGTGCATGACCGTGTGTGTCTGCTTGTACAAGTCCGGACTTTTATAGTGCTAGCCGACTGAGAAACCATGCCGCAGGTTAACATGAATACCCCACTCAGACACAGTATACTGACTCCGAACCGACCAGTCCTTGTTTTAGACCCTAATACCAAACGCCAGGCAGGGTAACAACAAGTACCAACTTTTAATGTCTTTTGGTAAGACCTGGCCGGGGATCGAACCCCCGACCTTTCGCTCTCCAGGTAGATGCTCTACCACTAGACCACAGAGGCGGTCAAACATTATTTGATACAGCAAAGGAAATCTAAACGAAATCATTTTTAGTAGAATGTTATTTTGTATAACATTAGGGTACATCACAGCATAATTCTTGTAAAGAATGTGGGAGTCAGTTTGAGTCTTGTTGACACTTCTATATTTTTTATCACAGAGTTTTGGAAGTTTTGGTTCACAGCTTCAGATGAGGCTGTGGTTCTTGGTGCATCAACCTGTCATTGATACTAAACTCAAACACTGCATGTTGAAAACAGGATTACCTGACAGGTTCCATGAGCCCCGAACATCCCATATTTGTCTATCTGAAAAGGAAAAGATACCGTCATATTAAACTGTTATGATGACATGATGCTTTAGTCATTGCAGAAATTCCCAGGCCATTCTGAACGTCCACTTTGTGCAAGTAAAACTGACACGCCTATAGGTTATGATTCAAAAGATGTGAGTGATTTCTTCAGCAGATATATTTAACAACAAACAAACACCATGATACACTACTCGGTTTTGTGTCAAAGCTGGAGTGAGGGAATGTTGTTCTATGTTGTTTTTTTTGTCTGGACCAGACAATCCAGTGATTGATATCATGCGCATCGATCCATGCAATTAGGATACGATGACATACATGAACCAAGTCAGCGAGCCTGGCCACCCGATCCCTTAAGTCGCCTCTTATGACAAGCATAGGTGCCATTTACGGCAAGCATGGGTTGCATGTGTTGAATGTTGTTTTCAGCCACAGACAGCAATTTTAAAGTTCATCACAGGAGCGGGTATATAATCAAGTGTCTGGGCTTAGAAATATGGCAAACTAGTGACTAGTGACAATTGCACATAATCAACCAGGTGACACGTACAGTGTAATCAGCCGATCCTCATCAGTTCTTGCGACAAGCATGAAATACTGGGGACCTACTCTGTCTCAGACACCCCCTAGGAGTTCAAGTAAGAACACAAACCTGTACCCAACAAATACCTTTCTGTTAATGGGTGATAAGGAAAAGCAACTTACTAGATCCGGCCAGTATAGCCTGGACACAGTACAGAATGACTCCAACACACACTGCGATCAACAGAAACCTCCTCATCCCTGAAACATGTATTGACAAGGGTCATGCAAAAAACAAAACCATTAATTACTTGAGTGCAGACTAAAATATACAGAAATTACATTTTGGGGCTAGGAGACTCACTGTTTTTTGGCACAGATTGGGGGTGCCATTATGCTTTGCGAACTTAAACAGGACAATATGATACACAATACGTCTACCCATGTATCAATTCATGGTTCATTCTGTATTGATTCCTGAAAGACATTCTATACCAGACAAAACAAATTGGTCAGGTAAGTACTAGGGCTGCAACGAATACACTTTGAGGCGAATACAATTTGTATCACGAATATAGGGTAATGAATACAAATATTAATTCACAAATACAATAACAAGTCAGCAGTTGATGTATTATTTGTTATATTCATTGAAACAAAAGCAACACAAATTATTTGACATGGTTTGTTAATTATGAATATATTATACATTTATATACTGCACTTTCCCAGGTAATAGCTCAAACGCGACAATGACCAGTGACCACATTACTGTCAAATTATATATCATAAAAGTGTTGTCTTTGAAGAAATATATGTATATAATATGTTCTTATGGGTATTTTTAGGCACAGGGAATGTAAATGCACAAGATTTGCATATTCATAAATATTCGATTCTAGTGGCCATGAATAATGAATTCATTTCATGAAATGGATACGGTTCGATCCACCGAATACACAAGTGAATCATAACAGCTCTAGTTAGTTCCAAGGTTACCATTATCTTATTACAATCACAACTAAATTGTGAAATCTTATTGCAGTATACATATCAAATGCGTATAGAACGAGACTGAGTCAACCAGTCATCATAAGGCTAAGTTATCTCATGTGCCTTTAAACTGTTTCCTCATGTGATATGCCATGTCTATGTCATGTCTATAGAGATGTTTGATTAGGAGCATCTGCTACTTAGAACGTTATATGCAGAGTTGGTGAGTGAGCTGGTTTTCAAACCGCTTCAAACAGTATTTCTGAATAAACAAAGCCCACCTCCAAATTTCTTGATGACAAGTCGTCGGAGTCCCCGCACCATCATGGTGAGGGTGTCGTGGCTGCTGCTGCTGTTGGAAGATCTCCTCTTGCTCTTCTTGGCCATTTTGTTACAATTTCTTCCTCACCTCTGATTTCATGCTACACTGGAAGCAAAGTAGGAGAGTCAATCAGGTACTAAATTTAAACTTTTTCAAGGGCTTCTTTCAGGCTGTTTGCATATACCAAGGTCATTGTAATCATATCAAAGGAATCACTTTCAGCAAATTATTAACCAAATAGTATTAATAATATTAACCAATAGGTGGTAACAATTACTCATGGAAAATGTAACAAGATGACATTTTTGTTTAATTCCATAACTTTTCAAGGCATTTTGTCTGAATTCCAGGTCTTTACAAGCTATTACTCAGTTTAAGGCCTTTTAAGGCAAACATCTGCATAAAGGCCTTTTGAAGGCCTTGTGAACCATGTCAATACAGGAAACAATCGACACATGAAAAGTCAGTGGATTGAGGATTTACACTGCATTCTACCACGAATTCGAAATCAAGTATGTAAACCGTTATGCAGATTTCGGTCCATTGCAGGATTTCCTAATCTTTTCATGTTTTTATTCGAGCCTAGTTCGGCAAGGGTGGAAACTGGACTTTTAAAGTCAGTTAACTTTCTTGCCTTGGGAAGATGTCTATGAACAGGTGTTGACAAACAAACATAGACTACTGACACTGATACAGAATTTACATAATCCCTGTCAATGAAATATATTCACTGTTTTTGTCTTCTTATTGACGTAAGTAAAGTTAAACATGTTCAAGTGCAAAGTACTACAGTTTTATTCATGTCTTTCTCCCGAAAACATAATCAACATTAAATTTTGAACATGGTAAAACACTGACCATGGTAACTGATCTGTGATTATGCTGATTAACATGTGATCTATAACATTTAAGCCATGAAATACATGGTAAGTGTTTGTAAAAACAATACCTTATGTTCAAACAAAACATCCTGTAAACACGGTGAATTCTACCATGAATTTGGAATTCACTCGATTCTGATTGGTCAATCAGAGGCTATTAAATCACAATAAACCCCCTCTGATTGAAACAGCTTGTTTGACGGCTGCATCACCGCGGAAGCTAATATTCATAGAATAGTACTATTTTCAGTCATTGTCGGTAGGCATATTTAAATAATTATAGATCTACAATTACAGGTTACAAAATGCACAGATGCGGTAACTACAATATTCAAAGGATGTGTGGCAATACATTTCGTGCTGAAAACACGATAGAAATCTACAAAGGGAATGTATTTACGTTTTGGAGACGAGAGAGCTTGGAATTTTGGCGCTTTTCTATATACTACTGTGACGTCATATCTCTGCGTCACAATGAGCGATATGACGTCATAATGCTGCGCGTTCGGTTCCAAATTCAATTTAGCGGGGTTAAATCTCCAGGTAACCTAGCTCTACATTGAAAACACAGTATGTTTATCTCCTAAGTGACAGGCCAATATCACTCTCCTACCCAGAGTTCGATGCGGCCGGCAGCCAGCTAGCATAGTACCTCTGCCACAGGCGAGCGCCATGTGACGATTCGTCACATCTTTCACAGTCCATTCAAGATATTGCATACGCTTTTCATCCGTTTCATGTTTGACAAGTCTACACATTTTCATAAACAAATGTCAAAGAATGGTTAACTTTCATTGAGAAAGTATGCAAATACGTAAAAATCTACTTGTTTTTGCGTAGTTATCCTATGTTTACATTGGTTGTACGGCTCCACGTGCTGTCATCGAAGCCCAACGGAGAGCTAGCGACACGGTCACTTTAATGCATAAATATATATTGTCATTCAACTCACTGTCACAGTTGTAGTAGCATATCTATATAGTTATGCAAAACAATATGTAAAGTGCCTCCAAATACTTGCATTAGTCCGTTCTATACTGATTTCTGAAAAAGCGCGTTTGTTTACAAACAAGAGAAAAGTCCGGTCAAGTGATATGCAAATTAGCCTGTGGCAGTGGTGTTATGCTGAGTCACCACTGCGACGGAGTGTGAGGCCAATATGTCTGAATATGTTAAACAACATCCCTCAGTATCTGTATCATACATATTGTTATGTGGTGTTATCTGGTTATCACATTACTTTAGAGACATGAAAGAGTTCAAATCAGGGGATAAAATAGCTGACAAAATATCAGCACGCTCAACGATTGAAAGTAAATTAAAACAATTCCCATTTGAACTGATTATATCTCGGAATAATAAACAAGATAGAATCACAGCTGATCTTGAAGTTTATGGGTTCACGGTTTCAGATTTGACTGTTTCGCATAATTTCAGCCTGTAGCAATCAATGATCACAATATAATTATCCAGTATTAATTGTTTTTTTCAATATCAATCGGAACTAACATCAGCTGTGTAAAATTACCAAGATATATACCTTAAACTCGGGTAAATGTTCTCTTGAGGTCCATCTGAGGAGAAAGCGAAGGAAGAGTCGCCATTCCTAAGGGCAATAACTCTGTCAATTGTACTGTACTGCATACCTCTAAACATTATTGAGGCTGAACACTCAACAGAAACCAGAGGTCTCTGAGATTCAAAGATTGCAGGTCCGTTTCTGATATTCGCCACGCTTACATGCACTGTTATACTCTATAAATCCCGAAGCCTTGTTGTAGATCTTTGATATTTCTATCGTGGGCGCTTAAGCAAGAAAATGTGTTTTGTACTTATAATGCTAAAAACAATTGAACATAGTCGAGCAATCAATTATCTAAAATCTTATACATTCATCAACAAGGCGTAGCTAATACGATTAAGATTGACTTCTAAATACTCTGCGCAGTGAGACATTGTGTTCGATGGGGTCAGTTTCAAAATACTAATCGTGAAATAAACCCAAAATGGTGACATATGGGCAAAAGTATTATACTGCGCGAAATGTACGATTGAGAAGACGCACTACATTTCAGCGTTCCCGGAGTATTCGTTAAACAAAAGATACGATAGATTATAGAGATTATTTGTCGAGTGTGTTTCTGTATTGTAAGTATCTAATATTAGGAATAATAATAAAGGCTTGCATAATACAATTATTACAACTTACGATACGGAAACACGAGGGTTATAATTTCTTTAAAACATAATATCATTTTAAATATATTCAATCGATAAGTTTACTTTCTTAATGAAGTAACTATGTGAAACGCTTATGAAAACAGATGTATGCGATTAAATTAGGTACTGTTCGCTAGGTGGCCTCAGTTGCATCAGACCGTGACATCAAGTTAATAGGACTGGTTCGTCGCATGGACAACGCCGTCTATTGTGTGATAAACGTACGTATCCAAGTGACGAATGTATTTTGAGACGGACCCTGTCACCCATCACTTCACCTGACAGGTGTATTGACATTGATAGGTTTGACACTGACGCCTTGATCTGTTGACTCACAAATCACGCAACTGTCACTGATTTATACTTTAGTCGTCATGTTTTAATTATTCACTACTACTACTACTACTACTACTACTTATACTACTACTACTACTACTAATACTACTACAACTGTTGCTGCTGCTGCTGCTCCTGCTCCTGCTCCTGCTCCTACTACTACTACTACTACTACTACTACTTCCTCTCATGTCTACTTGGTAGTGGGTTGCTTGCTGAAGAGTTTAGTATAGAGGCCCCCAGACAGTGCCTGTGGTATCACTTTCTGATAGAATGGCCAAAGGCTTCCACACTTAAGAAACCTCTTGTTACTGTGTGAATGTATATAACAGCATAATTATGATGTTTTGTTATTTTCAATCCAATCCTTCACTGTTCCGTTTTGACCACACAAATTGGCCGCTATGACCAAACCGTCTGGTCCGTTTTGAATGGTATGTACGATACTATGAAGGGCTTCGGGGAAACGAGTTCTAACGCTACTTACATCGATAACTGAATGGAGTACAATTCTGTTTTCAAGTTTTGGTTTGCAATGCCTCCCTGCAATCATGTGCTCAGTCTTCAAAAAACGTCCCTATATTGCCGAAACAAGGTCGATGCAACCAAAAAGGTACATAAACGTCTATATACGTCTTTGGTAAAACGTTAAATGTTGACTCAAAGATTTATGTTTGTTATTTTGTTTGTTGTTAAACGCCGCACTCAGCAATATTCCAGCTATATGACGGCGGTCTGTAAATAATCGAATCTGGTCCGGACAATCCAGTGACTGACATCAGGAGCCTCGATCCACGCAATTGGGATACGATGACATGCATCAACCAAGTCGGCGAGCCTGACCACCCAATCCTGTTAGTCGCCTCTGACAACAAGCATAGTCGCCTTTTACGGCAAGCATTGGTTGCTGAAGACCTTTTCTAACCCGGATCTTCACGGGCCCATGACTTCATTAGAATTTGGGGGCGAATTAGCATATATCTTTTCCTCACCGAAAAATGTCATGCTTTGAAAGTAACCTAAAGCACGACCAAATACCACATTGTGGTTACAGAGCACGTGCAGCACAACTCTCTATGAGAAATATACTAAACAGCGAATGTCGTATTTCCTCTAATAAGTGTCATAAAGCCGATTCCGACGCAAGGTCATCGACGTGGCTTGTTTAGTCCACCTCGTTGCTCTAATTTCGAAACATTCATTAGGACGTGTTTAAGTATGTGTTTATAGGATCTAAACACATGTTTTACAATGTAATCGTTGATTACACACACCTGGTCCATCACACAATGAAAGTGTTGTGGACCCATAGATGGACTTCTGTTTTTGAAGAACAGCTTTTTCAAACAATCTAGCCTCGGTGAACGGAGTATCATCATCTGGACTGGACATTTTTTAGCAGTTTTTCTACCGTGATAGCTTATGGGCCTTTCATCTTACAAACTCCTTCCTCTTTCATTCTTCTTAAATGTTAAAATACAAATTATCTAATTACTTAGTAGACACATACATCATGCAGTGCTTTTATTATTCATAATCCCTTTTGATGTTTCCCGTATCCCGTACAACGTTGGTATTTCACAAAAAAAACATAGACAAAACTTCAAATTACAGACAGATTGTTTGAGTCATTCCTCATATTTACATCTAAAACATAACATAAAACGACATAAAATGAGCACCTCCCTTTGGAGTTATGACAGACTTAATGTATGTACAAAGTTTATTTAACTTTATTAACGACCTCATAAATAAAATACAGAATAAAATAATATAAAATAGAACATACGATTATGTTAACTCTGATAAAAATGTTCTTGCACGAACATTTCGAAACAGACAAGTGCTGATGTTTGATTTCCGTGTATATATTACACGAAAAATCTGCAATCCTAGGATTTATTGACATACATAAATTAAGCTTCCCGATCTAATGGGAATTTTGCGTCAGGAAATAGTGCTTCCAGGTCAGATACCGCCAACTGAAACTGTCATTACGTAATGTTACGGCAAATAAACATATGACGATGATAAATGCCCGCTCAAGAAAAAGAATATATGTCTTTTCGCCTTTTCAAACAAAATTTAAGTTTGAAACTCAGGAACTCGATGATAGCTTGTATAGCATAATATATTTGTTTAAAAATATACATATAGAGGGGTGTGATTTTTTTCTATACCAATATATTATGATATAAACGCTATCATCGAGTTCCTGTTGTTTGAAATATCACAGCAATATAGATTTATTAAAAAAAGTATTATATTTACGCAATAATACACTCAAAAAAAGAAACGCATAGGTGTTTTGAGAATTCCAATTAGATTTTTTTCCCAGCAATCGTCATAAAGACAATTCTTATGTTTGATTCCCGTTAATCATGTCATGTTAGTTGTGCATTGCGCGCAAATACATCTCAAAATGTTTTTTGTTAACGTTTATCAGCAAAAATGCAAAGGATGCACGTAAATTGCTTTCAGAAAAAGTTTTCAGCACAATGCACGTACAAAATGTTGGGAACAAGAGTAGAGACACTGACTATAAAAGACCGTACAAAATTCATCAGTTCATTACGAATTTTCTGACGTGAACGGAGATCGAAAAATGCCAAGATTAACTGCAGCTGACCATCTTCCCGAGGCAAGAGAGTAAACTGACTATTAAAGTCCAGTTTCTACCCTTGCCGAACTAGGCTAGTATTATGGAGTTACATTTTGGCTGGACTAACGAGTCTATGCATAGTCCAATCAAAATGGCGCACCGAAATCGAAATCCGGTTCGTACACTGTCGTACAGATTTCGGTCGATTGCAGGATTTGCAAAGTATGTTCACCGCCAACTCGTTGTCAGCAGTTATTTTCCAAATGTTTTCATGTTTCTGATCAAGGTGCTCACGTGATTTGATGCATTTCGCGATGTAAAACCCGTTTTATCAGAATATAGATCTTGATTGTCGATCATATCATCCTGACCGGGCGCCACCATTTTGTTTGAAGCAAACGCAAGTGATACGAGAGGTGGAATCTGATTGGTCCATAGGAGAGGCTTAAAAGGGACATGACTGGTAATAGCCACTGGTGGCGCTCCGATCGAGCCCAGTAATTCCAGCCTAGTTCGGCAAGGGTGGAAACTGGACTTTTAAAGTCAGTTAACTCTCTTGCCTTGGGAAGATGGCAGCTGACCGAAATATCGCTATTGGACGTTTGGAAGAAGGGGAGTCCCAGTCTGCCGTTGCAAGACACTTCAACGTTCACCAAAGCAACATATCTCAACTATGGGATCGATATACCCGCACTAATTCGACTCAAGATCATCCCAGAAGTGGAAGACCAAGAGTGACCACCCTGCTCAGGATCGGTACATCCGGTTGCATCATCTTCGGAATCGATTTGCTACAGCAACGGACACTGCAGGTATACGAAGAATTTCCGACCAAACCATCAGAAATCGTCTGAGGGAAGTGGGAATTCGAGCGAGACGACCAAAAGTTTGACCTGTCTTGCGACGTCTACACCGTCAACGACGTGTCCGGTGGTGCAACAGAGTACATGCATGGGATCTCAGGAACTGGCGACGCGTTTGGTTCAGCGATGAGTCACGTTTTCTTCTTCAACGACCAGATGGAAGACAACGTGTATACCAACGGCGACATGAACATGAACGTTTTGCGCCGAACTGCGTTCGACAGGCGGAACGATTTGGTGGAGGGAGTGTCATGGTGTGGAGAGCCATATCCTACACGGGTAGATCACAGTTAGTGGTTGTCCAGGGCAATCTTTCAGCAAACCGATACATAGACCAACTTCTGAGTCCTCACCTCCTCCCAGATTTGGACCGCCAGAGGGAGCTGTTCCAACATGACAACGCTCGGCCCCACACAGCACGTGCAACAGTTAATTTCCTTGTTAATGAGAACACCAATGTCCTTCCATGGCCGTCCAAATCGCCTGATCTCAACCCGATTGAACATTTTTGGGACGAACTTGATCGACGCGTCCGTCAACGTCACCAGCGTCCCCACACACTGGCACAACTCGCCAACGCCTTACATGAGGAATGGCGAAGAA